CATATAGCAACCATGGTACAAACAACTATTTCGGTAACTATGGCACAAATGACCATCTAAAGACTGATGTAAATGAACCCATAATAATCATCGATAAAATGTGTCAATGAAATAACTATAATTCGGGTAGTGGTGTAAAACCGCTTACAAAAGCATTTAATTAGTGAGAGTCAGACCAAATGAGCAGTATGGATTTAAAGAAATCGTTTAAATTATTCATTATTGTAGGATTGATTGTGCAATGTTGTATCAATGAATATCTAATTTATTAATAGTTTAGAATTAATGCGCGAATTGAAGCATAAAATATTGGTTAATAAAACTCAAATTTTATGAATAATATAATTCATATTTTTGTACGTACAAATAGCGCTAATATAATTACAAAAAAAATCGTATTCTTGTCTAATCTTATTGAGCGCTATTTATATTTATAAAAGCAAAAAAAGATAAAACAAAAACGACAAAAAAAATTAAATTTGTAAAATGCATTATCTTTACTTAGAGTGAGAATTCTCCGAATTAAGTTTTCTGCTCGCCTAAGATATACTGGTTATATTATCAATATTGCGTATTACTTTTTTAATGTAGCTTTTTATGCTATTACATCCGTACATGTATTCTATCAGTCTAGGGCTAAGTGAATCGCTTGACGATGAACGTTACTTGTGTAATATCTTAAAGAAAAGAAAAAAGAAGATACCTTGATGTTCGATAAATTTTAATGTATTACAAGTCATATAGAGATGAGAATTCCATTTTTCTCATTAGAAAATTCTATTTTAATTACAAAATTATATCTAATCAGAAATCTTCAAAGACTAAAGAAAAACTTCTTAGAGGATACAATTGATTTCATATCTCGAACTTCGGCGTAGAACTTTTTTTGAGGTAGTTATGTGATTGTATAATTTCAATCTCTGATGTGTAAATGCAGGCTTTGAGCTTCAATAAAGTGTTCTACTTGATATCGTTTCGAGTCTGATAATGTTCTAGTCTTTTGTTGATTTCCAAAAATTAAAAATAGGAGTAGGCCTAGAGCTGCTGAATCAATATTCAGAAATCTCCGTTCTTGAATTTTCAGATTCCAATATATATATATATGTTTCAACAATTTAATAGTGAAATTGTCATATCTATCAGATAACTTTCACTAAAACTTTGAGACCTTAACCCATTGAAGCCACGTCAACTAAACTCTGCCACAATCCCCTTCACCTAGGCCCTCCTACTGTTACGATATTAGAAATAGTTTTGGATTATAAAAAAAATCTATTTCACTGAACTGAAACTTTACAAAAAAAGTCAAACAAGAATTAAACATATTTTCAGTAAGATAAACAAATGGATCAAATTGTTTATAAATACGATAGACATATTGGTGTAGCACATTTAACACTAATACATGATTCATCATCACTTTTTATCGTGCCATCCATATTAAGCATATATCTAATCGGAAAAAAAATATAATTGATTAACAAGTTTAGCAGCTAATGTTCATTTTTCATTATTAATCATTGATGTTGAATCGAATTCATCATTCATTTCAATAAATCAACGTTGATATGTTTAATAAGCTATTGTTTTAGAAAAAAAAACAAATGAAAAAAAAATTCTTGTTTTTTTTTCTCAATATTTACCTGCTTTTAAGGCTTCACTAACACAAGATTTTTCTATAGATCCAATTTGAATTGAAATTAATAATTGATCAAAATCAAATAAATTTGAATAACGAAGTAATTGAATAATTTTTTTTATTAAATCAAGATAATCAATTATTAAATGTGTACTAGCATTTTGATTTTGATATCTAAGTAATTGATCTATTAAAATAAAAGACAATTATAATGGATTGAAATCATTATTTTGAAAGAAAACTTACTAATTGCATTTGTCATTAGAAAACGTGCTATAACCATAGGATAACACATTTGCTGACTAGGCCATGAGAAGTTTCTAAGAATAATTTAGTCATTGATTATATATTTCAAAAGAAAATTATTTATTGTTAATATTAGGAAAAGAAAAATTCCTTCTCACTCGACTTCATACTTTAACTATCACGATAGCCAGTGAACTCCTATGACTAAACCATTCTTAAGTTGCATGAAACTACGCTCGATTACTTTCGAGGACGGATCGCTGCAAATGATGGACAGTTTCTCAGTCCGTATTTCGTCAAATAGTATCAGACTACCTATTCTACATTATCTGAAAAGCATCCTCTCCTGATCGAAGTTTTAACCGAAGCACAGGCTCCAAAGGTATCGACTAAATAGCGCAATCCTTCTCTATGTTTCTATTCAATTGCATGACATTTTTCTGATTACTTGTTTAAAAAACTTGTCTTAGATCACAAAAATTTTTTTTTACTTGATTTGATTTCTTTATCATTAATCGATCGACCAAGACTACAAAAAATAAGTTCATAACATTCTGATAAAATGGTTGAATCTTTTTCGGATGTATTACTTTTGCTAATTCGGCAAATCACCGCAGAACACCTAATCGAAATTAAAAATATCCTTATTATAAATTTAAGTCAAATATTAGAAATAATCTTTTAAAGCATTTGGTCCAACATTATGATTATGTTTGGTACTGGTTTGTTATCTCCCTACACGAGATTTTTTTATTTTTTTCTAACTTTTATTTTCAAACTAAATAATGAAAGAAGATAGGGACGGAATCATATATACTATGATCAGTATGATAGAATCGATAAAATAAACAGCTGAAAACAAAGGTAGTACTGAAAAATAAAAAAAAAAACTTGTGTGGGGAGATAACAAACCAGTACCTTATGTTTTATAATTCAATGTAATTCAACTTGAATTCTGGTTAAAACTGCTTCTTTTCAATTCTATTTTACAATTCATACAAAATTATACAAAAAAAAAAGAATTTCTTTTATAATGCTTTAACAAATTTATTAAGATTTTCTTCAGCAGTCAATCGTACATTATAATCATTTTCGTCAAATGTTGTAAATAATGTTTCCACACTAGCTTTAACTAATTTAACATAATTTCCATTGTTACCTCTAAATGAGAAGGAACATTCGAGGAGAGATGAAAACCAGAAAAATCAAATTTTACTTGATTATTAATCTTTTTCGGATTTTGTTGTTGAAAGTAACCTTAAAACTTCAAGTGATTTACTTAGTTTATCCATTTTGTTTAATTTATATTCAATTCATTTATTTTAAAACCAAATAGATCGACTGAAAAAGCTTAACATTGATTGAATATTCATAAACACCATTGACATTTCTGTTTTTTTTCTATTAATAGATGGTGCTAGATTACAACTTTATAAAATAAGACTGTATAAATTGAAAACCTTATCATCAACCAAAATTCTTATAACTAAAATATAGTCTTTGCTACACGTTCAACAGGGATATGTTTTGATCTTGTAAATACCAGGGCTCGAATCGGGCCGCCCGGCCCAGCGGACCGGCCCGGGCCAACGAATTTTTTCTGTTGGGCCGGGCAGGCCAACCAGGAAAGACCAACGGGCCGGGCGGGCCGAAGATTTTGTCAGGCGGTCCGGCCCAACAACATTGTTTTTATTAAATTTTATAGATGTCATCAGGTTCAGAAATTGTAACAAAATATATATTATGGAAGTGTTTATGAAAGTATCACCAGATAGTAGAGTAAGCAAATAACTTTTTGTTTATGAAATCTGTTATTTGTTTTCTTTATGGTGGCTTTCACACGTAATCAACAACAACTTTTTTCTGTTCGTTAGTTTTTTTTATTAGCTTCATTCATTGAATCCAGACACGGTAGAAGATGTTCCTTTTGTTCGTTCCATACAAAAACCATTAATGAATAACCCTAATCTTTTCTCAGATAAGTGTTGATTTTTTTCATGTGTAATGTATTATTTTCACTGGTTCTACATCTAGTAGTTTTTCGTGGTACTTGCTAATTTCTTTTTTCGTTATTACATTAATGATCCAATGTCATTAAATTCATCAATAAATTATTGATGGACACTACGGAAATTTCTTTTGAAATACGACGTTTATTGTTATAATCAGTTCTGCAAAAAATATTTTCTAAAACTAATTTCGTTGGGCCTAGGTCGGGCCGGGCCGGGCCGAAAACACGACAAGTTGGGCCTGGTGGGCTGCAGATTTGATGGGCCGCTTTGGGCCGGACCGGGCCAGAAAATAGTGGCCCAGTTCGAGCCCTGGTAAATACTTAAAGTAAGTCTAAAGCCACTATTTTGCTCTGGTGTGGGTGGGGTGTGGAAGTGGGTGTGGATCAAAGTATTTCATTTATTGACATGCTCCCATCTAGAGTCACGCTCTTTGTGACAGCCATCGTCATGTTACTCACCCACAGCCCACACTTACCACATAACATCTACTGGCTGTGTGGGAAAAACCTTTTATGACTCCAACAACAATGAGAACAACATGAACAAATTCTTTTTATCATATTTCGTTTTCTTTACTTTGAATGACACTGCATTTTATTTTCGTTTTGTTATCTCTTGCTTGCTTGACGCAAAGAAACTTCGTAAACACTCTTGGCACAAAGAAAAGATAAGAAGTCTTTCATGCAATCAACGAAACGCGCTCACTCTTATAACAAGTGGCTACAAAAACTACCAACAAAAGCAAGAAACAAGCAACAATATCTATATATATAGAGAGAGAAAGTGGGATGAAGTATATTTGTCTTCGTATCACTATCGTCAACTAGCTTTTACATTTTTATTCACTTATTTTCGCTCTTCAATAAAGAATACAATTATCATCGAAATGGACAAAAAGAAATCAACATCAAGTGCTAGTGGCTCTTCTTCGTCGCTGTCATCATCAACCACGCCGAGTAAACCGAAAAACTCCTTGTTGGTACCATCATCAACAAGTTCTGCTGCTGCCGTCGGTAAGAGTGAAACAACAAAAAGCATAGAGAGAAATACCGTGCTAACCCACCCCGTACGCCGGATTCTTCAAAATTTCCTTTTGGTATGGCTCGATGCCAATTTTGATGAATCAGGCAGTGATTTTAAAAATTCATTGCAACATCTTCGAAAAATTGTGGCATCTATCACAACGTTTACGGATGCCCAACAATGTGTTAATTTCCTAAGTGAAATCAAAAAAGAAAAGGTATTTATGATTGTATCCGGTTCCTTGGGTCGTCAGATAGTACCAGAAATCGAAGCATGGTCACAACTGGAAGCAATTTATGTGTTTTGTGGCAACCAATCGGTTCATGAACAATGGGCTAAAAAAATAAGCAAGGTTAAGGGTGTATATACTAAAATAGAACCAATTTGTCAAGCACTTGAAATCGATCGACAACAATGTGATCAAGCTATGATCCCGGTCAGCTTTAGTGGTCCTGATGCATTATTTATGTATACACAACTTTTAAAAGAAGCACTCTTGGATATTGAAGATGACGATGTCAAATCGCTTAAAGATCTCGTAGAATACTGTCGTCTGCAAAATGATGTTGATGGAGATGAAATAAAAAAAGTGCAACAAGAGTACCGAAATCTACCACCAATTTGGTGGTATACCGCTCCTTATTTCATGTACTCAATGCTCAATCGGGGACTCCGAGAAATGGATGTTGACATCATCCTTAAAATGGGCTTTTTCATCCGTCATTTACATCAACATATTACCGAACTACATCACGAACAAAAAGCCAGCATGCCAGCAAAATTTCAAGTCTTCCGTGGACAAGGTTTGTCCATGGAAGTTTTTGAAAAAATGAAAAAAACCAAAGGAGGACTTATGTCCTTTAATAATTTCTTATCAACAAGTCGCAATCCTGAGATATCTTTCAAAAACTTTGCACAACCAGCAGCATTTAATACAAATGCAGTTGGTATCCTGTTCATTATGAACATCGATACGGCTATTTGTACAAAATCATCAACAACATTTGCTGAAGTAAGCAAAGTTGGCTACTACAAAGATGAAGAGGAAGAAATACTTTTTACAACACATGCGATTTTTCGTATCGATCGCATTGAACCAATTCCCGATAATCACTGTGCTCGGCTATACAAAGTTAATCTCACTATTGTCGGTAATGACAATCATGAATTGAACACACTTATAGCCCATATACGTGAGGAACTTGGTGGGCGCACAGGGTGGTCTCGACTTGGTCTCATACTTATTAAATTGGGTGAGCCTGCAAAAGCAAAACAACTATATCAAATTCTTCTTGCAAAGACGTCTTCTGATAAAGATAGAGCAGATTACAATCATCAACTTGGCTGGGTGTATAATGACATGGGCGAGCACTCGAAAGCACTTCTCTATTACGAAAAATCACTGGATATTTACAAGAAAATTCTCTCTCCAAATGATCTCAGCTTGGCTTCTTCCTACAACAACATCGGGTTGGTGTATAAAAACATGGGCGAGTACTCGAAAGCACTTTCATATTTCGAAAAGGATCTGGAGATTACCAAGAAAGCTCTCCCTCCGAATCATCCCGACTTGGCTACTTCCTACAACAACATCGGTAATGTGTATAATAACATGGGCGAGTACTCGAAAGCACTTTCATCGTATGAACGATCACTTGAAATCAAGAAAATCGCTCTCCCTCCGAATCATCCCGACTTGGCTGCTTCCTACAACAACATCGGGTTAGTGTATAATAACATGGGCGAGTACTCGAAAGCACTTTCATCGTCTGAACGATCACTTGAAATCAAAAACATAGCTCTCCCTCCGAATCATCCCGACTTGGCTACTTCCTACAACAGCATCGCAAATGTGTATAAAAACATGGGAGAGTACTCAAAAGCACTTTCATATTACGAAAAGGATCTGGAGATTACCAAGAAAGCTTTCCCTCCGAATCATCCCAACTTGGCTGCTTCCTACAACAACATCGGCATGGTGTATGATAACATGGGCGAGTACTCGAAAGCACTTTCATCTTACGAACGATCGCTTGAAATCCGTAAAATTGCTCTCCCTCCGAATCATCCCGGTTTGGCTAATGCCTACCTCAACATCGGTTCGGTATATTATAGCACGGGCGAGTACTCGAAAGCACTTTCATCGTATGAACGATCACTTGAAATCCGTCAAATAGCTCTCCCTCCGAATCATCCCGACTTGGCTACTTCCTACAACAACATCGGTAATGTGTATAATAACATGGGCGAGTACTCAAAAGCACTTTCATATTATGAAAAAGATCTCGAGATTACCAAGAAAGCTCTTCCTCCGAATCATCCCGACTTGGCTGCGTCCTATAACAACATAGGTTTCGTGTATTATAACACGGGCGAATACTCGAAAGCACTTTCACATTATGAAAAAGCTCAAGAAATTTGGCAAAAATCACTTCCTGCAAATGATCCACATATTGCTGTCGTGAAACGAAACATTGACAATATAAAAAAGAAAATGTAATTGTTTTTTTTTCGGTTTTAAAGAGAAAATAAATTGCCCTTCTTGAACCCAAAGCTCGCCGAAGCGCAGCAGCTGGAAAATTTCGCGAACGCGCGACCAGAGATACCCTCCGTATTGTGCGGGCTCGTACAGTGGACAAAGCCGGCAATGGTTAGGCAAACATACATCGATGTATGCATGAATAGTACGACCATGATCGTCATCTTTGAAAAGACGATGACGAAGTGGACGCTTCTATTCACCCATGTCGCCTCTTTTTTACCAACTGTGTCGCAGTTACGCGCATTGCGATCAATGCGCCGCAGTTGCGCGTAACTGAGAAATTTTTATCGCAGCTGCGCGTAACTGCGACGCACTGGTCGCAGCTGAGATTAAAGAAATAGACTGTGTTCACTACTACCCATTTGCGTTCGCATCTGCGACGCAGTGATCGCAGTACCTGCTAGACTATTCACTGTTCTTACAGTTGCTGAAAAAATAGGCAATGATAAATAAATATCTTAATTTTCCGATTCAATGGTTTTTAAACAATGACAATAATGATTGAATGGGGTATAAAAGGACGCATCTCAAGCATATGAGCTCATTTCTTTCCTTTTCTATTAGCAAGACACTTCCATTTAGTCTCTCAAATTATCAAGGTAAGCATCATCGAATTTTCAAAGTTAAAGTAGAGACTTTTTACCAAAAGAAGAACTTTTTTAACAAAAAAACGATTTTTTATAAAGTTTGACCAAAAGTTTTCGGGGTCGAGGAATCCAAATCTGAAGCCGGTTTCTCGAATTTTTGAGTTCCTTTTTTTCACAAAAACTTTTTTCGTAACAAATTTTTTTTAACAAAAATGTTTACGAAAAAAGTAATTTGCAAAAATATTTTTCGGTGAAAAAATTTTTTAGAAAAAAATTATTTTTTTCATTAAACGATTTTTTTTTGTAGGAAAATCGGTTTTTTCGTAAAAAATTTTTCTTGCTAAAAAGTCATGTTTTTACAAAAAAGTGATCTAAAATAAATTTTTTCTAAGAAAAATTATTTTTTTATCACACAACTTTTTGTGGGAAAATCAGTTTTCGTAGAATTTTTTTTCAGAAAATCAATTTTTTTCCTAAAAAATTTTTTTTGTTAGAAAAATCGCTTTTTTAAGAAAATGTACTTTTGTGAAAAATCGAACTCAAAAGGTCGAAAAACCGATTTCAAATTCGGATTCCTCGACCCCTGAAACCTTTTATCAAACTTTATAAACAATCGTTTTTTTTCTTAGAAAAGCTCTTCTGTTGTGAAAAAATCTCTACTTTAACTACTTTATTAAAGTATTCATGATGCTTACCTTGATAATTCGAGAGACTAAATGAAGTGTCTTGGTAATAGAAAAGGAAAAAAACGTGCTCGTATGCTTGAGACGTGTCCTATTACGTATTTTTTTATTTTTAGATTTCTATTTTTTATTTTCCAGATTATTATCTTTTTTTTTCTCGATTTTTATTTTTTTAAATTTTTCAAATTTTTGTAACATTTTAAAAATTTTTTTATTAGCAGTTGTTTTTTATTTTTCTAATTTTTTAATTTTTTGTATTTTAAAATTTTTTTGTAATTCCTAAAATATTAATAAAGTGAAACGTCATGTATAGCACCTCTTTTAGCAACTGCGATCGTACTGTGACCCGCAATTGCGGAAAACTGCGATTTTTTCATCGTAGTTACGCGCAACTGCGTCGCAATTGCGGAAAACTGCGACGCAGTTACGCGCAACTGCGTCGCAATCGAACACATGGGCATACATATATTGATGCACGCCTGCACGGGTCACCAACAGAACGTCGGATATCCCCGTGAACGTTCATTTATTTTAGAGCAACCCTCAAAAGCTTTTTTTTATTTAGAAAATTATTTTTATTCTTCTGTTACGAAGAACGAGAAGAAGTAGAAACGGAAGAAAGAAAAGGTATGAAAACGGAAAGACGCGATGAAAGACGACGTCGACGTAACGGAATAATAATACGCACCGCATGATAACAACCGGTGTTTGTCAAGCAATGGAATATTGAGTACACGATATCTTTGTCGTCTTTAAACATTTCATGTTCAATTTCTTTTGTGTTTTCATCTCGAATGTGTAAGGTTAACTTGCATGTCGTGCACTCGTCATTCCAGCAAACAAGCGATGATTGAATGCAACGGCGGATAAAAACAATACATTCGCCGTGAATTTCAGTAATAACTCATGCACTGCATATCTTGAAATAGAGATAAAGAATAGAAAAAAAGAAAAGTTTTAAATATATTCTTTTTTATACTTTATGATTGTATGTGATGGTTATGTTAACATTGATGGTCAAAAACAACATGAGTCTTTCGAAAGATACTTATCAGCCTTGCTGTTTTTAAATGTGCATTAATATTAATATCCGATAAGAAAATAAAAAGAATAAATATTTTTCTTTATATATTCATGAAACAATTCTTAATTCAGACAAATAATATAGATTAAAAAGTCTAATTAATCGTATATCTTTTCAAATAAATAAAATAATTTTAAATGCTTATTTAAACTTTAAAAAAACTTTGCTTAGATAAGGAAAATCTAATTAACAAATTTCATAGATATTTTATGTGAATAATTGAATTTATTTAAAAAAATTTGCCCTTTAACTTCAACAAATTTATGAACAAAATATTTTTTTTATTGAAAATGATTAATAATTTGATATTGCTGCTACTTCTATTTAGGATTATGAAATCATTTTTTACATTTTATTTCGATTAACATTAGGATATTTTTGTTTGAAGGTAAGAATTGAATATTACAAATATTATTTTGATCGATTTTAATTTTTAATAGTTATTTACTATATTCACAATAAGATCTTAGTTTCAATTCTAAAATATAAAAAAAAAGTTAGGTATATAAGGTACGTATATAATAAAGTCTTTTCTTTCATTTTAACTCAGTGAATAATAAAGATACTGATCATTTAGGAAATTTATGAAAAAGCCTTACCTTTTCTCTCTATATGTTATCTTTGAATGATATTAAGATCAATGTTGATCGATGTGATACTTCAATTTTAATGTATTTTATTCGATAAGTTTTTTATTTAGGTTTAACAACTTGACCAACACTTTGCTTGTGTTTTGATTGATTTTTATAAAATAAAACATTAAAAATCATTGTCTGTTTATAAAATTTGAAGGTTAAGAATTAAACATAATTTTATTCTCTATCACACCGACACCCTGTAAAATTCATGCTCGATTTCTGATGATCATAATCAACGATATGGTTTACATTTTTGAGTTAAACCTAATAGCTAATTTCTCGCCAAGAAAAAGGAGACATTTCTGTATTTTCAATAAATCATCTGACACTTTGTACTGTAAGATGATTTCTAAAACAAATCGTTTTCGTACAACATTTCAAAAAAAAACCTAACGATGTTCCACTTTGATGTAGGTTTGATTTTTAACATCTGCTTCAATTTCACAGTTCTAGGCACGGTTCAGATGATTAGTTTCTCACTATTTTCTCTTCATCAAAATTTACTTGAAAATAAATAACTTTTGCATATATGTTTTGAAATATTTTACAAGGAGCATAGATTACAAAGTAGTTTTCTCTTTAATAGTATCAGATGAAAAGACTTCTAATAGAGTTCTCTTAGTTTAATTGTTGTGAAAGGCACAAGCAACACTGGCTATTGCTGTTATCAAGTCATTGAGATTACACTGAAAAGTTAGATTCTTCAACGATGATAATAATATAACTATTTTTTTTCCAAGTAAACGAGGGTGTGGGTGTGGGTATTGCTAGGAGAACACCACACATCCCACACCCACGCCCTCAAGCATATTACCTTAACTTTAACTATTAAAAAGGTTAAAGTGTCTGACATATGAACATACAGGTCGAAAAAACTCTTGAAGAATCCTTGGGATGGATTCGATTAGCTAGTAAGTTGTGCTTACGTGAGAACTTAATTTTACGTATTGTAAGTTTTTATGCCAGCAAACCAAACTTTTTTAAATTATTGACTCGAATGACTCTAGTCAAAGTTCCCAAATTTTCGAGTCCGAGTTATGACTCGGACTCGCCCATTCTTGAGTGTACTGTGTATTTTTGTTTCAGAATTATAGTTGGTTAAAGATGAACAAATAGTTGGATGAATTCCTCATGAAATCATTACCAAATTCTCTTTTGATCATTTTTTTGTATTTGTATTACAAATTAATTCGTTCAAAATACAAAACATAAATTATATGTTAAAACAAAATGTGAAGTTGATGCGAAAAATAATCACATTTACTTTACTTTCTCACATCGAAAAGAAAAAGAATAAAAATCTGTTGCGTTTTAAAGGTGAACTTCGTAAAAATCGAGTTACAGTGGTTTGCAAAAAGAATTGGAACAATCTTACAACAGTAACATTTTATTTTTTCCAGCTTCTTCCGAGCTATTTTTGTGTGGTTACTGTAGATTTATACTAAGTAGATGCTCTACTAAAAATATTCATATATTTGGTGAATTTCTGTTTTATCATTGTGTAATAATAACCTGACATAGAAAAGACAAACAGTTTAAAATCACATCATAAATCTGTATTACATTGTTGGAACACCGGAATTCGTTCTACCATTAAAATCTACTGATATACAAAGAAAACACTGTCTATAATTAATTACCAATTTTGAAAGCTCAAAACTCAAGGTTTTCTAGAATATCGAGCAGCTAATGGTCCAAAGTGTGCGATTGGCGCCCAATATAGTCGAATATTAGGTCAATTTATTGGACGAAATAATGAAGTTATATTGAAAGAACTGGCTAAAAAATGGCATAAACAATATGAATAAACTGTTTCCACCAGCCCAAACTCATGCTATTTGAATCGTCTTGAAAATAAATATTAAAAAAGCTATAATCAATTTGAATAGTAGCAAAAATGGCAGATATCTCTTGATTATTTATTTAAAAGTAGAATGAGTTGAAGATTGGGTTAGATATTCCGAGACTGAAAATTGATATGCATTAAATATAGAAACAGTTTTTTGAAAACAGTTAAGCTAGTCTTTAATACAGGCTAAATATTTGTTTCAAGTCTTTTTGCAAACCACTGTATTTTTGTAGTCATACTATTTCACAATACAAGCAGATATGAAGAGTGTATATAAAAGTCTTTATTCTTATGAGTTGATGCCGACTGTAACATTTGATTGTGTTAATATTTATGTACATCAATAATAATCATTATTAAAAAATGTTTCAACAAGTTTGACAATCAAATCTTCATAACTTTGATTCATATTTATCACGATAACTTCTGTCCTTTTTCGTGGATGTCTTATTGTCTCATAATGTTTACTTTATATTCTTTTAATCAAGTACAAATCAAAAACGTGCATTCGATATCTTAGGACTTAGCTTATTGAAAGGTTAAAAAAAATCATCTTATAGTAATCTTATACTACGAAAAATAGAGTAACAGTTACTAAGAACTTTACTCGATCAAATAGAATTTCGTCAAATGAAAAAATCTTCTGTGATCAATTGCTGTAAGTTTTCAGTGCTCGTATAAGATCATTTAAAAAATAAGTCTTTAGATTCTATTTCCAGTTTCTCTATCGTGACATACATATGAAAATCAAAAAACTACTGACATAGTAAACATTCTATCATGTATTTCTTCAAAAGATTTAAATTGATGATTAATTTATATGAAAAAACATGAGAGCAATTTTTCGGCGATTTTCAAAAAACTCTAGATTGTTTATTATCATTCTTCCCAACATATGGATTTCCTACTCATTTCGATTGAAATCTGTAACCTGTACTAGAAAGAAATAAAAATAATGACATATAACAAATTGTCAGTGAGCTGTAATTCGCAAAATTCGTAGAAATGGTATTACAGAGTAAGTATGACTAAAAATGAATCATTTTTTTTCTTTTTGATTCACTATCTTCGTTCTTATAAATACGAGAAAACTTTTTCTAGATTAAATATCATATATTATTAAAATTTCTGTTCTATTTGAATACAATATTAAGTCTGACTTTAATTTTTATTAAATCTATCAAATAGCTAATTACTTTTTTCTTTCACTAAGAAGTTCATATATACTTAACGATGATGTAAGGAAAATAAGAAGTACATTTCGTTATGACATTTCTGTTGCATCTTGTTCTTATGTCACCTTTAGTTATCGTTATTTTCTAATTGGTTCTTTCGTATCTATGAAATTAAAAAAAATATTTAACGACATCTGTTTTTTTTTTTATCATGGATTGGCTATTGAAAAAAATTGTTTTTTTTCTCTTCGAATGTTCTAGATGACAGGCAAAGGTAATATTAATAACCCAATTCTTGAGTACAAATCCCATAACTTAAAAGCCTTCCATTTCACTTTACCATCACGAGTATGTACAAACATATTAGTTTTTTTTTCTTTTGCGCCATGTCATTGATAGGTTATTTATTTTTCTTGTTTTCGAATCCTTTATTTAGACTATATTAATGAAACGATGTTATATCTATTGTCTTTTTCTAGATTATTTTTTTATAACATTGTTTTTTAATAATTAAAAACTATGAGTTCACCAAATTCATCATTAAATGCACCAATTGCAACAACAACAGCAATTACAGCTCAACGTCGTTTAATGCGTGATTTACGTGATTTAACACAACATCCAGTTGAAGGAATAACTGCAGCACCTGTTCATCCAGATAATATATTCTATTGGAATGCTATATTAGATGGACCAGAAGATAGTCTTTTTGAAGATGGAAGTTTTGTTTTATCACTTAAATTTCCACAAGATTATCCAAATCATCCACCTGAAGTTAAATTTGTTACCAAAGTATTTCATCCAAATATATGTAAGATTTAATTTTTAACTATGATAGATATATATATATATGTTTATGTTTTAATAGATATGGATGGATCAATTTGTCTTGATATATTACAACATCGTTGGAGTGCTAGTTTAGATGTATCAACATTACTTATTTCTATTCGTTCATTATTAACTGATCCAAATCCAGCTTCACCAGCTAATTCTGAAGCAGCTATGCTTTATCAGAATCATCGTCGAGATTATGAACGACGTGTGCGAGAATATATTGATCAACAATTAATGGAAGATGATGAGAATGATGACAAACATAATGGAAAATCAGAAAAAGATAAAAAGAATAATGTTGAAACATCATCATCAACTTCATCTCCTCCAGCTTCAAGTGACTAGTCATATTTTACTTTTCATCATATTAAAAATCAGTAACAGTGTATAAATACAAATATATATATATATATATACATTATCGTCTGTAGATTCTAACCATTGATTTTGTTTGTTTATAATATTGCTGCGTAGTTTCAAACCTTTTGTTTTGTTCTTCTGGTATAGCGAATATTTTTGTTTCTTTTCTTTGTTGTTTTTTTTTGTTTTATTTTTTATATACAAAAAAAAACTTAATAAAAAAAAGAATAAAATATGAATTAAAACAATGTTTTCTTTTGTTTTTGTTTTTTCTTCTTCTTTATGTTTCTATTCGGAAATTTTTCGTAGAATAGAATGAGAAAAGATTGTTTATAAGAATATTTTGTATACGTTCAAGTAAATTATTATTAATTGTAAGATGAATTTGATTTTGTTCATCAAATCGTTCAATTTTAATTAAATTTTTATCTATAGTACGTCCAAGTGTTAAATTAAAATAATCAAGTCGTTCATTAAATAGAGGATGTAAACAAATTAATAAACGTTCATAAAATCCATTTGGTAAAATATTTAAATTACCATTGAAAATTTTTATTATTTGAATAGAATTTTGATTTATTATTTGAGAATCAAATATTTCAATTTGATCAATAGATGGTAAATCTGGTATTATAATTGAAATATTTTGATAGATATCTTTTTGTGATAAATTTATTTGTAATGAATTTTCATTTTGAATATTTTCTTTATTATCTATTGAAAACCATAATTGTTGTTGTTTTATACGTCTTGCTTGTTCACATTGAAGATATTCATATTTACGTTCTTGTTCAAGTGTTTTAAAATAATTTATATAATCAATATTTGAACATATTTCATTCATTAACCATGGGCAAACAAAATTACTTGTTGTAAATTCACGATCAAAAAAAAAGCAATAAAGAAACACACAAAATATTATTATGAATAGAAAAATTTAATAATTTATTCTTACGATTTAAATTTGATTGATTTAAATAACCAAGATATAATCGTTCCATTAAATGACAATAATCAAATATATTTTGTTCAGTTAAACTAATATTATTATTGTTTTGTTCATAAAATAATACATTAAGCATTTTCCATGTAAATTCACCACGTGTTAATAAACGTTGTCGATCAATATTAAATAATTTTTCTGATGAATAATAACCAGAAAAACGAAATACCATATTATCATTATAATTTAACCATTGTTCAATATTTGGACGAAATAGAGTATTAGATAATAAATTATTTAATAAATAATAAGGTTTTAGAAGAATTCTCATATGAGATTTTTGACCAAAACAAAAAAAATCTCCAATTAATTTTAAATAATTAAGACATTCATCGAAAGACATTGAATTTATTTCGTCTTCAATAAGTTTTTTATTTTCTTTGATTTCATTATCATTATCATCATCATCATTTGAAAAAATTAATGGAATTTGTTTTTGTTGTTCGAATTTCTTTAAACAAGTATCATAATTAATTATTAAAGCATCATGTTTAAGAAAAGCAAAACGTTGTTTAATAAATTGTCGTTTTTGTTTATGATGTACAATATTCCATTGTTGAGCAATTATTTCTAATTGTTCAATCATTAATGATGATATTTGATCATCATTTATATGAATTGGTTCTAGAAAATATTCCGAATAAAACTTAACATTTTCTCGTTGATCACTTGCATTGATTAAAAATGTATTCACTTTTGAACGAATTTCATCAAGAAGTTGTTGTTGTTGTTGTTCTTGTTGATTATTTGATGTTAACTGAGAATCATCAATTAAACCAAGAATTGCAATAGATACATGTTGACAATGATCAGATATTGATTCTAGATAATGAAATATATGACTATGTAACCAATCATTTGTCAATAATGTATTAAAATTAATAATTGTTGATGAATTTTCATATCTTAATATAAAATTCATAGATTTGAATTATTTATCAAATTTACACTTACTCATTAATATTTTCTAAACTAGTAGTTGTTTGAATATTATTTAATAGAATAGTTAAATTAACTGGTAATATATATAAAGCATTTGAATCATAAATTAATGGATAAAGTATTTCAAAATTTGGTTCATTTTCTAAATCAAATATAGTAAAATAAAAATTATTTTTTGTAATAAGTGTTGATTTAGTTATAATAGAATTTGTTTTTTCAATTGATCGATAAGTTTTAAGTGGTGGTGGATTTATTCGTTTTGTTTTTAAATGACGACTATAAAGATAATCACCAGCGGTTGATATACGATTTTCAATCCATTGATCTGTTAATGCAGATGATATTGGATCATTTGATGTTTGTTGTGATTGTTGAGTATTATTTTGTTCATTATTATTTATTTGTTTGTGTTGAAGAATAGAAACATACATATCAATAGTTGTTCTTGTATTTGAAATTTTTTTTCGATTATTAACAAGTTTTATTGTTAATGTTGTTTTACCCATATTTTTTGATCCAATTAATATTAATTTTAGATGACGAAAACTATTTGAAAGATTTTTTTCTTTTACTTCTATATAATTAAATAATGTTTGTATATTTGTTGATTTCCATATATAACTTGGTGGATTAGTAATTATATTACCTATAAGATGAAGTCCATCACGTTGAAATGTATTATTAAATGTATTCATTGATTTAAGTCCAATCATATGACGAATATTTGATGGTAGATGTTCAATATTATTATATCGTAAATCAAGTGTTTCTAATTGTTCAAGTTTACATAATTCATCAGGTAAATATTTTAAATTATTGTAAGATAAATCAAGTATTAATAATGATCGAATTTTTGAAAATTCTTTTTCAATTGTATCAAGTTTATTATGACTAAGAATTAATTTTTTTAATATTGGTAAATAAGCAAATATTTTAGAAAGTACAGATAATTTATTATATGAAAAATTTGCTATTTCTAATTGTTTCATTTTAATAAAATATTCTGGTATTGTAAGAATACGATTATGTGACATATCAAGTATTTTTAATTTTTCTATTGTACATATTGCTTCTGGTATATCAAAAAATGAATTATTTGATAGATATAATTCAGTAAGATTCATTAATATATGTTCATTTGATATAGAATTTATTTTTGTATTATTTAAATCTAATATACGTAAATTTTCTAGTTCAAATATAACTTGTGGTATATGTTCAGAACGAATTTTTCCTTCATCAATCAATTGTACCATATAAGTATCAAGTAATTTATAAAATGTTTTATAATTTATTTTTAATTCATATAATTGACGACATTCAATCAAGGTTTCAGGTAAATTATCAATTGGATTTCCTGTTAAATCAATGGTTTCAAGTTTATCACAAAAACCAATTTCAGGTGGAAGTGTATCGAGATCCATGTGAGATAAACGAAGATGTCGAATATCGGCTAAATTACCTTGAATTCCAAAAAACAAAGAAAAAAAAGAAAGAATGAAAATATTTAGTACAACAAAAATAATAGATTTTTGCTTCTTTTGTTTTATAGATTATTGGAAGAGTTTTTAACAGATAAAATTAGGAAAAGAGATGAATTATTTTTGTGAAAAAAACTTTACGCATTGTTTTATTTACCAATATCGCCAACAATATAACCAACTTTATTTCGACTTAAATCAAGTGTTTGAAGACTAAGTACATTCCAAACAGCAACTGGAATATATTTCAATGAACATTCAGACAAAATTAATGTATGAAGATTTTTTAAATTTTCAAATTCACGTGGAAAACATGAATAATCATCATAACCATTATTAACAACTAATGGATTATATGATAGATCAAGATATTCAAGATTGATTAATGAATTTATTCCTGGTGGTAAAGCTGATAGATTATTATTTGATAAAATTAATCGACGAAGTGTAAGAACTAAGAAAAAATTTATATATAGAAATTACATTCAATTAATTAAAACTATTAATTGACTTACGTTCGAAGATTTCTGCAGGTATCATAGAAAGACCTTGTGCACTTAAATCTTGTCTTTCAGAATCATTTGGTTCTGCTAATTGTCTTCTTTCAATATCAGTTACACTGATTGGTCTCCTTTTTCTCTTTGAAACTGCTCTACGATTTGTTGATGGTGATGGTGATGGTTTTAAACTAGGTCTTTGTTTTTTCGATGCATTCGATGTTGGAGATAATGCAGTACTTGATCGATTACTTGTCGAACTTTCTGAACGTTTTGTTGGATTCGTTTCTCGAGTACTTTGTCTTGATGCTTGTGAAGATGTTTTTTCTCGTTGTGCATCTTGTTCATATAAAGGCGTATTTGGTGTTGTTCGATGTGAACGATAAGATGATTGACTTTTAGTTCGTTGTCGTTCACTTGGAGACAAACTTGCTCGACGATCGCTGCTAGCCATTGTTATGTATGTTTGAATGAAGAAATCAAGAAACAAAAAATGTTGTCGAAGTAGTTATTCTCTGTTCTTTCACTTATTTGCTCGGCAACACATTATTTGAAAGAATCAATTTCTTTCCAGTTATTTTTAACTGTTCAACTTCATTTTTTCTTGTTCTTTTCTCTATAGATCAAAATAGTGAATAACTATAAATAAAGATCGTAGACTCTATGAATAAAACCTATATAGAATTTATTAAGATAATTATAATTCTATAGAGATGATTCATCATTTTACAGGGTGTCCCAAAAATCATGATCATCTAAATTTTCCGGTTATCTTTACTATTTAATTTAACTTCATCAACTTATTTTTTTTTAAATGATAGGTGGATGTACTAAGTTTTTTTCTATACGAACAGGTTTCATAAGTATTGTTCTAAGATATCGTCTTTCAGCGAAATACAAAAAATAGACTTTTCTATTTTCAGAAAAATAACCGATCAGGCAGGTTGAATGGCCGCACTTTGTATGTTAATTTTTATTGACTTAATATATTGTATTCAAAAAACAAAATATACCAGAAGATGCAGCGTGAAAAGCTCTACAATTTACAAAGAACAGTTTATTTTATACATGAAATAAGAAAAAAAAAGGAATTTCGTTAGTGTAGAAAAAAAATGACATTTTTGTGACGGCGTAAATTGATCGCACAGAATTTTGGACACAAAAGGTGCATATATAGAATAAGCTTTTCACGCTGCATCTTCTGGTATATTTTGTTTTTTGAATACAATATATTAAGTCAATAGAAATTGAAATACAAAGTGCGACCATTCAACCTGCCTTATCCATTATTTTTCTGAAAATAGAAAAAAGTCTATTTTTTGTATTTCGCTGAAAGATGATATCTTAGAACAATACTTATGAAATTTGTTCATATAGAAAAAAAAAACTTGGTGCATCCACCTATCATTTAAAAAAAAATAAGTTGATGAAGGTAAATCAAGTAGTAAAGATAAACGGAAAATTTAGGTGATCATGATTTTTGGGACACTCTGTATATTCATCAATGAGAAATTTTATGGGATGTTATAGATATTCGTGGAATTATGAACGTTATTTTAACTGATCCTTGTCGCTGGTTACCCGACAGTACTAACGAAGAAAACGAAATTCGAGGAATATTCTTTCATCATTGGGAACAACTAAAAGATCGTTTTATAGCAACTGTTAACGACATCAATAAATGGCGTGAAACATTTATTGATTATGTGAATAAGTATGCAGAAGAGCAAATCCGTATTCTAGCGGAGGATTTTCAACGTCAACGACTGAATCTTGATGAAAAACGTGAAGAAAATATTGACACAACACGTGCTTATTCTGCTGCACGAAATATTGAATTATTTCAAGAACTACGCAATGAATGTCGATTATTAGAATTTCAAGTAGCACAGCTTGAATTTATTACTGGTGAAATGCAAGGTCTTAAAGTTATAACTGTCGTCGAACAAATGGAAAGAAAGAAAAAGGAGAAGTTTACTACATCTAAGTCTGAAAATGACAAGCTTGAAGAAAAGTCGATAACTGAACACCCCAATGATATACAAGCGTAAGTTCTTTTGTATAAATTATTTTGGTTTTGTCTTATGATTTTTGTTTTTCTCTATGAAGTACACATTCATTGCCGGTTGAATCTTCAAATGATGATAATCGATCAATCAATGGTAGCAACACTTCAAAAGAACACAATCTCAGTGATAAAGATGTGATCAATAAATGTCCAATATGTCTCATGATATTTCCATTCAGAATGAAATATGATGATCGCTCTCAGCATATCCGTGAACATTGTACAGATGATTAAAAACGTTTGTAGATAATAAAGACTATATTTAATTGTTTTTGGAAAATTGAAAATTTGAGAATGAATAATCATAAATAAAAATTTTGTATACAAATAAAAATATTTCATTTATTTCATTCCAATTATTGATTGATTCGGGATTACAGTTATGAGTGATGTTTTAATTATTCAAATATTCTTTCGTTTCATAAATTTGTTTTTTTCAATTTAAGTAACCGATTAGTGCAGTGGAAACAGAATTTTTAAATATTTATTTAGAGACCATATTTTATGTGTACGACGTGAACAGATGTGAGTTTTTACAAAAAGAAAGCAAAAATACAAATCTTCAACTTTGAACAATCATATATGATGTTGTCGCTATTCATTACAGTATGAGCACTTTCTTAAAGTCACTAGACGTGAGCAATGCAAAACCAATAAGAAAGAAAATAAAAAATTGGCGTACAGCGTCATAGATGCATCATGAAAAGTCAGATTTTCAAAGATGATTAGGTTTACCAAGAACATGTTTTTGATGAAAGTCATCGTGCTTCTATTGTGACCAACTCCGACAGAGCCGGAGTTATCTCAGTCAAAAGATTGTTCTTCTTCTTTTAACTTGACAATATTCTTCATATATTATCAAACACACAAACGACATAAGAAGTTTATTTTACAGCCTTTCAAAAAAGGCTTTGTACATGAAAAAATGCAAAAAGACTATGTGTGACAGTTAAATAGAATGTCATCGCATACTTTTTCGACATAAATTGCACTCAATACATGACAACAATTTTTTTGATAAGAATGAAGCAGATCAGCTAGGGTCTCAATTGTTCAGCAGTTTCTTTTGGTTACTCGGTTATCGTATTGAATGTAAAGTTAAACGAAACAACAGATCTATAGAGGAGAAAATAAGTTCTGTTAGATGAAGAGTTTCTAAAATGAGACTTGTTCTTATGGATTCAGAAGACATTTCACATCGAACAAAAAAATTATTCTTCAACATAGTTCAAGAACGTAATCGATACTTTTTCATGATATTATATTTGTTGCATTCAATTGTAAAAATGAAATTTTTTCTTTCGATTGTTCAATATAAATGCACATCTACGAATCGAATTATTTTACATTGATCAATACTGAACGAAACAGTGGCTTTATTTTCATTTCGACTGAAAATATTGGATCGATCTCGATCATTACACCAATAAGTTTTCATTCATGTTACTGCATGTAAAATCAAGGCGAAAATTAAATTGGCAATTTGAATCAGCATGATGAACAAACAAGAAAATATTTAATGTTCACGATCGAAAAATCTAAATACCAACTTTGACTATTTTAAAATCTCAAGTACAGTGTATTTCAAAAGTTCATCATGAAGATTTATTTCATCGTACAGAACTTTTTATTCAATGAAATCTTCTTTTTCTTCACATCATACACACTACGAACAACGTTTTGTGGGTGAATGACAAATTCACAAATATTTCTCTGAAAAATCATTTTTGACTATAATAATAAACAAGCTCTTTTTACCAGTGTTTGATCCAACGATGTAGCAACAATGAGAATGTATCATACTAGAAGATTTTCAACGATTGATCACTGAAATTGAAACAAAAATATCTGTAGAGATTATTTTTAATTTATGTAGTTCAGTTTCACTTTTAATATTGACATAAAAATAATTCGAGCGACTAGGCAATAACCTTCGTTGTCTTTCATCTTTCATGGAACATCAGTTTAAGATTTCTTCACGCATCATCTACATGTTCTGACGGTTGAAAACGAATGAATAAACATTAATTCAACTCTTCTCAAGGTCATCTCCATTTCTTAACATTTTTTACTTTATTTGACTTGATTGATGCTATTATTTGACTTCATCAAGTTGGTGTCTCTTTATTTCTTTCTTTCATTCTTTCCATATAGTGATATTACAATATGAATGTGATAGGAGAATTTCAATTACATTTTATTCTTCGAAAAACTACATCGACCATGTTTCTGATGACATCGACAAGATTCTAACGAACCCATACTGAAGTAATTAAATACTGTTAAGATACTTTCATTTTATTATATTTCCAGAGTGCGAAAGAATTTAATAATTTTTATTTTATTGTTTTCTTGACATATATATTTATTGTGTACGAAAAACAGTCGTTTAACTATCGTTGGAATTCAATATTTTGAGATGAAATTTTCACTGAACGATGCTTATTCCCTAAAAATAATAGCAGAATTGATTCATCTGAAGAAAAGACGATTTTTCATAGCGAACAGTTTAATTATTCTAATAAATTGGAATTATCTTTCTTCTTTAATCGATTCTCAATTGTTTATCCTACAATCATTTCTATACTTTTATTAGTTTGATCTAGCAAACGAAAGTAATAGAAGTATTAACTCCATACCCAACGACTAGTGGTTCACTAAAATCATATCTGATCAATTTCATTATCTTACATCCTTCTCTTAAACGGATAGGCTATTTCATTAAAAGAAAAGTAGAATTCCTAGTAACAAAAATATTTTCAGGAAAAAAAGAATCTGGTGTCTTTCACGAGTAGTCAACAGTGTTAACTGACTGATCTATGTGATCGATTAATAATCGTATTTCAGCCGAATGAGTACTGTTATCTTCTTTTTCTTAATAATGAAACAATACGAAAAACTATAATCATCGAAGTCATTGTCAGAGTGTCACGAATCAAATCATCAAGCTTGTACTTTTACACAGTAACAACTTTATTCTTGTGCAACAATCGCAGTAACAGTGAAAAGTGGTGGTTTTGTAATATTTTCTTTATTTTTATTTTCACTTCATTGATTATGCGAAGTTCCTATCTATTAGGTGCTCATCCTCACATGACAAAATGTCGTAATAACTAATCCAAATATATTAATTGCTCATATACTATATGTAACTTACATATATTTAAAAATTAGTATAGATGAATAAGTTGAAACGTCGTATAAATTTCAAATAATTATTTTTTACTTTTATTTCGACTATTACACTTAAAATTGTCATTTTACGCTGGTTTGATCAATTTTATTCTTCGTATGATAAGTAATGAACAAAAAATGCCTATAAAACATTCTATCAAAAAAAAAAATAAAATGGTTTGGATATTACTTCGCTATCATAAAAACCGTTTTGAACTGTATTAAAGTCAGAATCAGGTTTTGAAGATAAAAGATTCCATTACGTGGAACTTTAATTAGCAGTAATGATAAAGAAAAAGACTATGGCATACCAAATGATGATTTACACAATGAATTTAGTACATATTTTATGATATAGCCATGAAGCATAAATCGTTCTAATCTATCTCCATAAATCAAAGAGATAATAGTTAAAAGAATTATATTCAAGTTTATATGTTAGTTTTTCAATCTTTCATTTCTTCTTTTATGATCATATGGAATTTTTCGTCATTTTTGCAAATACATCACTCTTGAATAAGGTCATTTCATTCATTGTTGTTCACATTATCAATTTGACTGTCATTTCGTTAATCTGTAAGTAATAAACAAAACCGATATATATATCTTTCTCGACAGTGTAATTTACCCATACAATCGTATGAACTTACAACATGTTCTGATTGAATCATTGGCGAATGACCATAAAGATTGTCAAATAAAAATTCTACAACTTGATGTTAGTTTTTATTCATTGAATCTTTATTTCTTCTATATGTTTGTTCATGGTAATGATACGACGGTTGATCAATTACTTGTCAAAAATATTGAATGATTTCTCGGATCTAATTTGTGCTAGTTCATTTTGATATTTATGGGGGATCAGTTTCTTTTTTATTATCTTTACACGTACAATGATCTTTCACTTGTATGAAAACAAGACGGACTTTTATGTTCTTTTTGTCTTTTATCTAGAAGACATCTATAGGTAACCTGAAATACAACGAAAAGAAAAAACGATATTACGAAATAGACATTTCTGTTCTTCCAACTATTCGCTTGCTTACTATTTAAATAAGCCATATTACTTCTTCGCGTTCTTTTTTTCTTGCATTTGTCGGTAGTTGGTTTTTCTTTTCTTTGCTATTGTCAAAAGTAAAAATATGCGAACAAAAAATAGGCATATGAAAAAATGTGCGTACTGTGAAAAAAAAACAAAGATTTATTTCCACTTATATCTGAAATCGTACTTTATTCATAATAAAACTATGCATAATATTCTAGATTTTTATTAAACTATGAGCGATTTTTCGGCTGAGCCGTGTCGATCTAGTCGTACTAGTAGTAAAGAAGAGAACGAAATTCGCAAGATATTCTATCAGCATTGGGAGAACCTGAAGAATCAAATGGATAAAGATATTGAGAAAATCAGTAGTTGGCGCTCTCAAAGTATTCAAGAAATCAAATCTTATGCGGATGAACAAATTCGTATTCTCAAAGCTGATTACGATCATCAACGCCGTATTTTCGATGAGAAACGTGTAGAGAACCTTGAACTAGCAAAAGTTTATCACAGTTCAAAACAGAAGGAGTTATGTGATGAACTATATAATGCATGTCGATCGTTGGACTTTCAAGTGACGCAACTTGAGTATGTTGTTATTCAACAACAACGTCCTAAAGTGATAGCTATAGAAGAGCAAATACAAAGAAAAAAGCAAGATATGACTAGAGCACAGGCAAATGAATTTAAAAACAATCGAACAAGATCAACAGACGAAAATTTTCACATAAGGGAAAGCAATGAAAATGATACTACAACAGCATATGCCCAATCAATATTGACAATGTCAAATGAAACACAGTAAATTTATACATGTAAATATTTTTCTTTTATATGGTTTTCAATCTTCTTTGTTTCAGTAAAGGACCACGGATGTTCTCATCCGCAAATGTTAATGATAGGCCACCTGATGATAACAATTATTCGACAAATGGAGCTGCGAACGGTGATGATTTGAATAATAAATGTCCTATATGTTTTATGATATTTCCATCGAACATGTCACGTCAAGATCGGTATCAACATGTCAATGAACATATCACAGATGATAATAGCATAGATGTCCGTTGTTGATATCAATCTTCTAACAGGTTTTTTATGACTGAAACAAGGAAAGTCCTATTAATACTTGTTTGTATAATTGTTTATTTTAAAATGAAATATTACCAAATAAAGTTTGTTCAAATTATTTAAATAATTCATTTTTACAACAGTTGTGGTCTTACCCATCAAAGTAAACTACTTCTATTACAAATGCGAAAATTTATTGCATGAAAAGAAAACCATTTTCAAATCCTTTCACTTTAGTCATCGATAGATTCATAATTTAAGTTGTCAATCACATGAATATGATTTCTATTCACTTGTGTATCATATTGTTGTCACCTATGATTTTAAAAATTCTATATCTTTCAGTCATTCAAATAAGGATCGAGTTTAAAATATTGAAGATAACTATAAATACAGACTATTTCAGTTAAATATGTATAAACAACAGTAAATAATACTACTAACAAAAAGAATTCAATCTTTATTATGTTCAAAAAGTGTCTATCTACATCACGTGAAGTGGCTAATGTTTGCTTTCATTATTCTATCTAAATGTTAGTTTAAAATTCTAAGCTAAATTGGAAAACGCCATGACTCAATGTCATTGAAACTTTTCTTTTTGTCTACATGTATGAATATACCAATGAAATGTATTGCTCATTAACTTAGTCATCGGTTTATGCATGTTTATTGCCGTGAAAGAAAGTGTTGCTTTATGATTTACATATTACCGTACAAATTTATTCAGTTATGACTACTATTTATCAGTAACATTATTTAAATTTTCTACACAATTTTTTCATTGTAAAACTTACTGTAGAAGCTGTTGTTGTTCATGACTTTAATTTTAACGACATTGATATTGATCTTTTTTGATATTAGATGTGGGTTTTTGGTATAGTGAATACCAATCATACTCCAGAAAGTTCACTTTGATAGTTTCTCATCATCTGGATGAATATGTTCTTCATAGACAATTATTTATGAAAATATTCGGGATGATCGAAAAAAAAATAGTTAAATTATCGTTCGTCATCTACCCTAAATAGCAATCTTGATTTGCAACTTCTATAAAACACGTGTGAATAAAGAATAAAAAAAAACTCTCTATCGTAATTTTCATTTCTGTTCTTTCAACTACCTATTTGTTTGTCAACATATTCTTTGAGTGGCTGAATTTCTTTTTTGAATTTTTTTAATACTCGTTTGAGTAAGTAGTTTTTTGGCCATGTGAACAAATAAGTGACGAATAATTTCATGACAGGCAAATTGATATAAACATGAAACTTTCAGTAATGTTCTTTGAGATTTATATATGCACAACAGAATTTGTAATATTTTACAGATTTTTCATTATATGACAAGTAACTTCTCAGCTCCACTTCATACTTGGTCATCTTGCACCAACAAGTACATTGTTGAAATTCACAATATATTCCATCAACATTGGGTAACTTTGGATGAGAAGCGACGATCAACAATTGAGGAGATAGATCAATGGAGGCTTCAATGGGAAAAAAGCATTACAAAATATGCAGATAAACAAAAAGTTCTGCTTAATGATACTTATGATCGTTTACGACGTACTTTTGACAAAAAATATAAAGAAAACGTTGAAACAGCTAATGCTTATCATAGTGCACAACAACTAGAACTATTTAAGGAATTACGTGATGCATGTCAAGTATTAGAGTTTCAAGTAGCTAAACTTGAGTATCTTAAAATGGAAATGAAATATCCAGAAGTGATCGACATGGAAGAACAAAAAGAAAGAATGAAATTAGAAGAGATGAACACGACTACAGAGGAAAATGCCAGACGTCGAAGACGACGTTGTAAAGATAATGATAAGAAAACAGAAAACAACAGCGGTAATAGTACAAGCTTATCACCTAACTCAATAGCTTCGTCTTCAAAACCAACAAAGTACGTATATACATTCAAACATTACCTTGTTGTAATGCTTTCAGCATCTTTTTAGCAATCGACAAACATTAGAGACACAATCAAAAAGGGAAGATAGTCAACGGACAGGCACAAAGAATGATTCGAAAAAACAAGACAAGAATACCGATGATTCCAATGATAAATGTCCTATATGTTTTATGATATTTCCATTGAACTTGACACGCTCTGATCGGCATCAACATGTCAATGAACATATGATAGATGATCACGATGATTGACTTTTGATTCACTGTCTGCACAACTACTGCAAAACAATTCTGTATGTAAAGAATGAAAAACGCTCTATTGCTTTTGATCTTTACATTCTTGCTTGCTGGCCACAATAAAGTATTTTTTTAATTTTGATCAGACTTATACAGTATTCATCCTGTGATTCTACACCTAGCGAGGATTCTTCTGCTTGATGAATCCATTTCAAAAAGCTCATACAAAAACAATTTATCGAATTCAAGTTCTTAAGTTTAGAATAAATCCAGCCATCTATTAAGAATATTTCTTCATTATGTTTCATGTTGGGTGGGTATATTTCGACTAACTCTTCTTTAACTAAGTAGTTCGTTGAGTTTGAAGATATAATAAACACTCACGAAGTTGGAGAGAGATGAAGAAGTTTATCTTTACAAAAATATGTTCACATGAATGAAAATATTAATAATATATATAAATGCTATTAATAGATCATATGAATCTTATAAGAGTTAAAACTACTTTTAATCGATGTATTGATTAATCATTTTGAGAATATGGGAGTAGAGCTCGAGTAAACTGTTCCAAGACAGCTCGCAAATACGTTCACTGAAGCACCGTTATATTGATGTGGGTTTCCATCAGCTGAGGTTTCTATCAGAATCGCTATGGCATAAGCTGCTTAAAAAGTATGCAATTATAAAAAAAAGTTATTTGAATGAGAACATAACAGAGTAAAAGTTTCTCAGACGTTTTTCTTGAAACTGAATCTATTCTACGTTAAATTCTATTAAGGAATGAATAGTTTGATATACTTGCTGATACAAATGACTCATTCATTCATTATTCTACAGCGAAACCACTGATAGACTTGTTCAAGTCATTTTATAATAGGATCACTAGATGAAAGCTGTTAGCGCAGTCTCTATGAGGTTTAAATGCTAAACACAATGTAAATGCTGTAGTTAATCACAGAGAAATTGTTTTATTCTATCTGTTTTGGGACACATTTCTTCCACATCCTTTTATTTAATCCTTCAGAAATATAAAAAGTATGTAGCTCATATTTCATAACTAGAACTCGTCGATAAACAGTCTGCGATCGTATATCAGTAATGTCTGCTACATTCTGCTATGATAGCTGACTACAATCTAACACGATGTATAGGACTGAAGTCCACATTTCTACCTTTATACTTCAACACTTCTTCTAGATTGTCTTTCATTGAACAACACATATCACATGATGCAATGTGAAAAGTTCTGTATCTTACAAAGGATAGTTAATGTTACAGTTACAATCTTTGTTTTTAAAATGAAGAAAATTCTAGGCGATCTAGTTTTCGAACCTAAGAAAATGATTCTTTTTGGTAAACAATCAAGTCGCTTTTTTTTAGCTGATTGGTTAAAAGACTATTCTATGCACTGACGAAAATATTTCTCATTAGAATGTACTTATGCTGCAAAACGAACGGCTAGGCATCCAAAAAGAATTATGGTGGGATTAGATGCATCTTAAAAGTTTCTGACATCTCTAACTATACATTCAAGCTATCCTTCTCCATACACAATCTGAAGGTAAACAGCTTCTATGTGACGATTTCATCTGTCATTAAGATGGCATAAAGTTTAAAAGTGTTATTCATTGATTGATAAAATACGAAAAGAAATTCACTGTGTACTAATCAATTACCATTTTCACAACGTCCACATTTGCTTGCTCAGAATTTTATTTATTTTGAACATAAAAAGTTTAACTATAAAATAGACTGTCCTTTACAACATGTAGAACTTTTAACGTTGCATCTTGTGACATGTTTTGTTCTTTTAAGAACCTATAAGATGATAAAAATGCAATATAAAACACGGTTGTTGTTGATAACTCATCCCTGAAATTTATGGTAGAAATATGAAAGGTTGGCATTATTGTTGAAAATTGTGGATTGCATAAATTTATGTGTTTTTGACTAGAATGATTGCGTTCATTCTACTTTTTTTGTTGATGGATATGAATAAAAGCACAAAAAGCGCATGCTTCGACAGAGTCGGTATTTCAATGATTCACTAAACATCGAGTCAAGTAGAATAATAAATTTTGTAGAGTGTATGAGATGAAAACAGAAATTTCTGTACATACTACTATTTTAAGTACTGTAATATCGATTTTAACAGTAAAGATAGACCGATTGAGATGGATTGGGTCATTGCGTTTTAATATTGTTAAAAACCTTTCGATGCTGAACGATGTTTCTTTTACACTGACGTTGAATATGTCATCAAAATGCGCTGCAATGATCGAGCATGTCATAGGTAGATGAAGGTCTGAGAGTATAGCTGAAGAGAAGGTCCTCATCCTCAAGGATTAAAAGATGAAACACAGTGAAGCTTCTTATATTTTAAAACAAGATATTCGGCTACAATGTTTCAGGATTTGAATTATTATATATTTCTACAATGAGTGATCGAAAGTATGAAGAGAGATTTCTTAAGTTCCGTTGTGTTTTTCAATTATTTGGCAGTATACTTCAGTTTAGTACCAATATCTGTCACAGTCTGTGGACGAGGAATGAGTTCAAACTTCTACCTCTACATTTTAAAACTCCTGTAAGATAGTGTTTTACAGAAGCAAAAGTGGTGTGTATTCGCTGGGCAAAATCTTTTCTCGTGTCTAATAAACGTGTTACTTGATGTTGGTTAAAAGTGAGTTATTTTAAGACATATCAAATAAAGAAAACACGACACTACATTTCAACATTAATGAATGAAAACATATTTAGTATTCTTTCGTTCCAGATCAAAACTTGGCAAGAGGAGCAATGCGTCCTGTTGAATTTTTTTTCTATTTCGCTCTGCCAACTTTTGTTCACTTGCATAACGAAGTTGTTTGATTCGGTATTCAATAGAGATCTCATAGGTTTAGCGCAATTAAATCTGACAATGAAGCTTATGGCACAATTTCTAGATCAGTAAATTTGATAGATTCATGATTCGAAGAAGAGTGCCTTTAATTATTTAGAAATCAAAGCATAGAATTCTTCTAGATTTTGATGAGAATCCAATGTTGATCAATACTGTTTATATAATCGCGGATAAAGACGTTCGGTATTCCATCAACCGTCAGTGCTCGCCACCAAACTGTACGTGGTGCAACACGGAACGTGTTGGTTGCGACAGGAGAAAGAATCCATCGCTGATTGTTTTCGCTATACCAATGACTTACTTTAACTACGCCTAATGTTGTATTTTCTTGATAAACATCAAGAGCAAATTGTAGATGACTCTGTGGTGTTAAACGATAGGAACCATCACCGAGCCAAGTAACATTCCACATTTGATTGAGCTTACTTTCTTCTACATTATAAACATGAACTTCGTCAAGATTTTCCTTTTCATAAGTATCAAGACTTTTGTGTGTCTGGGACTGTGGCATCAATCGATAGACTTCATCGGGAAGGACACGTGTCAGTTCTTCTTGCCTGTGCCACTAGGCTGGTTTTGGTTGATAGTTTGAGTCGGCTGGCAGAGCTGCTCCTTTCGTATAATTTGAATACGATGGAATCTAACTATAACGATCTGTAAACCCCCAGGTGGTTAGTGCACGGCATTTTGAATAAAAGTGAAGAGCATATTTGACAAGAGCACGATATACTGATGCTTGTTTTTGTAGATCATTTAGATCTTGAGGCACACTACCATTCATTAGCATAGATACGTCAAATTCTGTGATCATTATATCAAATCCATTGTCAATGAATCTTTGAGCACTTTGATAATAAGAATCTTGAGGACGAACTGTAGTTGAAACACCCACTCCATGAACAGTGGCTCCTTGTGATCTCACCCATGTCAGTAGTTGAAGAACATTGTTTGATTTCATCCCGTACCATTCAATATTGTAATCATTATAGTATAGTTGTGCCTGTGGATCAGCTTGATGAGCAAAAAGAAATGAAAGCCTCATCAAATCTTTTCTGTACCAAAAACAATTTCGTAGTTTAAATGGATGAGTATTATTTTGCGCGTCATCGACAGCTTCATTGATCACATCCAACGATGTGATCTTGCCTTGATAACGACCGAGAACAGCATGAATATAATCACTCAACAACGACTTGACTTTTACGGGTGATATCGAAGATTCTTGTTGTAATAGCCAAGTCGGAATTCTTTTATCATTAGCCCATACCAAAGTGTGCCCTCGAATTTCCATAGCATTCTGTTGAGCCCATTCTGTCGATTGTGGTGTAGCCCCTAATAGCCAATCGGAGTCAACCCAATCGTAATGGTTTTCACCACGCCATAGTTTAATAGGTTTCAAATCATTTTTCGATTCGATGAGATGATAATTCTTCTTAACATACTGGTTGAATTGACCATTATTAACATTCTTTCGTAGATGTGCTATGTTGGAGGCTGTGCCAAATGTCAATCCACCAATGCTAGCATATGCTCTCAACCCACTTGGATCAAGTATTCCATGTACACCACCGTGAATTATGCACAATATAAATAAGAATATTCTTTTCTGATTCATCACCAATGATCAGTAGGGTTCGATATATTGGTATTCAGTCAAATATAACTTCTATATTTTTTTCTTAACTCTAAGATATTCGCTTCTATCAAGCAAGGGCTTAAGTGTATGAAATATAATCATACAGGTGGATTAAAACACAAATAAAAGAAAATACGACCATTGTTCGAAGCTTGTCTCTCATACCACCTGTTACTTTGTTATTATTTTTATACGATTGAAAGAAATAGACAAATATTTAATCTTTCATCAACAAATGAACAATCAAATATCATTTTTTAGGCAATTTAAGCCGAGTATCGATATATTCAATAGCATCAATAATAGAACAAGGAGAATAGAAAAGTAATACTAATTATTATTATATAAATAAGAAAAATATTCACATAACAGTTGTCGCTCTTTAATATATTGCTGGTCTAGATAGTTCAAGATTACTTTTTGTGGATGCATCATGTCAACTATCCTCCTTCATAGCGCTTAATCGATAAATAATACTCATTGATCCATGTTTTGACATGCAACAAAAATTTCTTCCATCTTTTGATATTGTGAAACTTGATAAAGAAAAAGTTCACAGGACAATCGTTGGGATATTAAAGCATTTGAAACATGATCAATCTGTTTTATCGTATGCAAGAGAAGCCGTTATACATAGTCACGTGTTGCAGCACACCTCTGAGTGCAAATGCTCACTGTGGTGTTGTGTTGAATGACCGTGCATCGTGTCACTCAGCGCGAAAAATGACAGTATTATCTTCTTGTATGTGTAGAAACATTATAGTAGTTCTGTCGTCTGAAGAAACTAGATTTTGTTGCAATTTGTACAAACATGAGAAGACATATTAACATAGCTGTTTTCAGCTTATGCAGAAGAGAGAAGAACCAAAAGAAAGAAGCAAATATTCCAGAGTCGTTATGGATGAAGTAAGAATCCACACTCACTCATCATCTCATTGAAGAATATATATTTTAACATAAAGTTCACTTTGCTATGTAGTACATAGTGTTCCCAACAATAATTAATCACACATCAGGTCAGTATCATTTGAAAGAAATGATTTGCCATGAAAACGAAGTGGTTGACATCTTTGATCGATACTTAAATATTCTCGTACATTTCATGTATTAGCCCCTTTCGAAACTGTGATATTGATGAGATTTGATGTGCTTAATAATAGTATCGTTCTGATGGAAATCGTCATTCAATATCTTCAATTAGTTTTTAGCAGAAGGAATCTTCAGAAACACTATCCTAAAAGAGTGTAGGTGTGCTGAAACAAGAGACCTACCGACGCCTACATCAACAAACACACTCAGACTTACATCAGAAACCGGTTTAACATAGCTACTTCTGCGATTCAGATCATTCGATTAATCACCTAGCTCAGAAACCTGAGAGAAAATCAAGTAAGGTTAATTGGAATTCGGATGAAGACTGCAACCAGCATATGCATTGAAGCCTGTAGTCAAGATTTGTGAACACAACAGATTCTGATCTTTCTCCGAGTGATTAAAGAAGGTCGTTTAAAAATACTGAAAACGAATAAGTGAACTGTGGCTAAGAGTGAGTAAAGAGAAGACCTTCATCTCTTACATCCCCCCGCTGTCTATCCATTCTCATTCCGACTCATCCAATACAGTGAAATAGGACTCATCGGTTGGTCTGTTCTCGATCAAGTTTTATTGATCCATCCATCTCGTTTTCAACCTCAATACGTCGAAGACCTAATAATTATGGGTGTGGGTGTGGATAGGGTGAGTGTGGGTGGTGTGGACCTTCTTTTCGTCCACACTCCCACCCTTAGTTTCGAGAAACCATCCAGGGAAGTGTCTTTGTTGGTGGAAAAAGTCAAGAAACTCAATCAAATCAATTCTCTTATTCCATCGATTTGTCATTTGATCAAGAGAGCAATCTTTATTTGAGTGACAATAAAAATAACCGAGTAAAAAAGTTCAACATGAATGGAAGTTGATGGTTTCTTAAAATTGGCATTGCTTTTACAGAGTTATCGTAATTTTGAAGGAGAGATCGAATAATACAATTGTTTGGAACAAAATTATCTCTTATGGACCAGAAGATCATCATGAATCAAATAGAATACAATGATTTTCAGTCAACTTCTATCAGACACTCTGTTTCAAATATTTTAACATTTTATAGGTGTTCTAAGTTGGCATCAAGTTGAAGTATTCAGTATTCATCTTTGAGAATTTCTTCATTTCTGAAATTCATTTGCCAAAGTAGCATATGTTAAAAATTATTTGAACGTTAATTTGTTGAACCACTGGAATTACCGATATGTAGTAAACAATGTTTTGTAACTAGTCAGGAAATTGAAAACATTTTATTATTTTCCGTCATTTGAAAACAATGAATTCTGTCGTACCAAAGTATTAAACTTACCAATACCAGAGGAATACGCCATTTGTAAATGTTGACACTTTTGAAGAACAGAAGAGATCTCATATTAACGATTTTTGTTGTAGATGTGAAAGACAATAGTGTGGGGATAGCTTGACGAATATTCGTCAGAAAGTTATGAAAACGTTTTTTTCTATCATTAAATTATATGTCAGATCATATTGTGAATCAATGCAAAATTTGTCTCATTTGATTATTAGTCTGATGTCTTTCATCTTTTTTTATGTAGTTCCTGGAGAAGGATTGATGGTAATTGAGAAAATAACTCATGTCTGAATTCATCAACAATATTGAAAGATGACTGAATACTTCTTGCCGATCATTCGTTTCAATGAATCTATTGATCACTATGCAGTATTACAAATCCTTGAAGTTCTTATTGAATTACTAAGACCGATACTAAACACCTGAATAATAAAAATATCTTATTTGATTATTTTTCCATCCATAAGTTTTCTCTCGAAAACGATGGCGAACGATGGCCAGATGCAATGAAAATAGACGCTTTTGCATCTATTTTTGATGAAAAGCCAAGGAAAATAAGAATCCAATGAAGAAAAAGAAAATTGTTCGATGGGATTTTTCTTCACATTGTAAACGTGATGGGTTAGGTATGATTTAATTTCATGAAATAAGGAAAGAAATTCAGATGAAAACCGAAGCGATAATTCATCATTGCACGATGAAGCTTTGCAACTTATCTAGTTGACATCGGGCTACAATTAAACTTCTTTGTTTTTCACAACTGGAAACAAGTCCTGAATAAAATGCTAGACCATCATTATTAAAAGAACAAGTACATTTGGAAACAAGTACCCACACACGCAGACACGAAGTTTTCTGTTATGACATATAAACCCCCCAGTTTATGCGTTTCGTATTCCATTAACTTTATTTTTCTCAATCTTTTTTTCTCGTACCAGTTTGGTAATGGTCAATTCTGGATTGAGTATGCTTTTATTATAAGATTGACAAAAAAATAAGTTGTTTCATAGCACAGTATATTTAAGCAAAAAAACAATCTTTTCTGTCACTTAATAAAACATATTATGTGGAGTTATCTATCCGTGCAAATGGTACCTCAGCTAAAAAGCGGAATTCACAGTATCCATATGCACATTTCGGATTTCTGATAACTACACGATAATCGCCTCTTGGAAGACGATAGCTTAATACAGAAGCATAGCAATTTATTGATGGAATACTATTTCCATCGTCATTTTTGGCTAGAAGTTGTTTGACATTTTCTGAATGAAGTTCAATCAGAGGATCACTAGCACCCGAGTTTTTCCAACTCGAACATGGAACCCATGTATTGGCTGCTATGGTAACATCAGCAAAAATTGTATTGACACTGAAACAGAATGTAAATGTTGGATGCTCGACATTTGTACTCAGATTCAAAATAGTGTTGAATGGAAACCATTGATGGCATGCTGCAATAGGAGATGCGCTCGATGTTATTGTTTGCATAGTTGCAGTAGGACTTTTTGACGTGATCTGTGTGGTTGTCACTGTACTTTGTACTGTTTTCGGTGTGGCTATCATCGTACTTTGTACTGTTTTCTCTGCAATTATTGTAGTTCCTTTTTCAGTTGTAATCAGATACGAATTACTTGTGGTTGTACTTGGCAAAATAGTTGTCTGTGTTGGTATTTGAAATGTCCAAACATTCTTATCAGTAACAGGTGCCGACTCAATGCCACATGATTCATTAATAGTGGCCACTCCACTATCCAATAGAATATAATATTCTTCACCCTATTTTAATAAACTTTGACACTTTATCAATTTAAAATATCAAAAAATACAAAACGTTTTTACGAATGATAATAAAGGAAATATCTAGAAATCTACTAGTTGTCTATCAAAATAAACAACATTCACTTCAAAGGCAAAGTAACTATGATAATTATGTATAAATGGTACTATTATGCTTGTGTATATCTTCTGACTAGAGTTCACTTACTTTGCTCCAGATATAGCCAAATGTGTAAAATGCAATTCTTCGTGGTGCATAACAGACAACAGAAGGTGAAGTAACATCAACACGGTATACTTCTTGGTTATTTGATCGTTTGAAAAAGCGAATATTAACACCGATTGATCGTCGTGGCGGAGCTATGTCTCGATCAACTTCAATTATCCATGTTGATTGATTATCAGGTACGATTCCAGTTGGATGCATACGAACAAATCGAGGTGGATCAGTATCGACTTGAAATACGAGACAAACTTGTGAACCTGCTTGTTGTTGAGAGTCGACTGGTGTTAAACATAGTTGATGGACACCATATTGATCAGATTCAGGTGTCCATCGAATTTCCATCGAGTAAAGATTGAGATCAGATGAGTCTCGTATAATGGGTCCTCTAATCATGCCCGGTGGTGACACTGTAAGAATGTTGGCTAAAGTAGTACTTGTATTTGGACATGGAATACGAAATTGAACTTGTTCAGTCACTGACGAGTTTGATTTGACTCCGATACAAGCACCTTGTGGTCGGTTACCAACATAAACAGGTAGTCGACTGCAACTGGTTGAATTATTTTGGCTGACAGTTTAATTGACAATGCGAATAAGAAACTGAAGTGGAATAGATGAAAGTACTTTGTTGTTGGAGTCAAAATCTTCAATGACCAGAGCAACAGCTGCATAGCCAAGTCGAGTGGCATTGTAAGTTAATTCGCATGGATCTGGTGTGAGAAGACCTTTTGGAGAACAGATGCTGCCGCATTCTTGATTTTCTTTTCGACCCCATCGGCATCGCAAGGGATCGCCATCACTATCGGCCATCGGAATCCGAATGATATGTATTTTGCCAATTTGAACTTCTGTAATAGGATTCATGGCTGATATGGGTGAGTTGTTCAATCTGTTGTGAAAGCAAAAAATGATAGAATATAAATTGAGTTAGTGCAACTTACTTTCCGTTACGACGTCGATTTGTGTTGATGACAAGCTTTAGTGACCATCTCAACTCTGAAAAAACTTACAATGTAATAATATTCAAGACCAATACGAGAAACAACATGGAATAAAATGAATTTGAAACATTTTTACCTAAAAAGCAACTGAAGTAATAAAATGCTACAGCTACAAGTTCATTCTAAACATCGGCAGTGATGACATAAAATGATAGGAAAAATTTTAGCCGAACTCTAGTTGTATTTCATCGGTGTACAAATAATTATTCTAGTTTTTGCTTCACTGCTCTATAAGTACTGTAATGGTTATTAAAGATTCTTCGTGCTGAACACTGTCAAAATAACCATTATAAGTTTGTATTCGAAATATTTCTACAGACTCTCTTCTTTTCGGTACAATGTGACCTTGTTCTAGATCAAAACATAATTCCAAAACGTGATAGATCCTTGGAGATCTTGTCATCTTTTACATTAGACTTTTTACCAGTGACTGTCGGGCTTCATTGATGTAGTTTGCATTCCTATGTGAAGTACAGGGTGTATAGTCTTATCAGGTTGAAAATAGTAATTTAATGTTACATGAAAGAAGGACTTGAAGGCAAAAAAGTTGTCACTATGTCTTCATTCAATCTAAATTATTTCTATAGAGACAGAAAAGAAAAATCTTCAGAATGAAGTTATCTGAAGCTGAATTTAGGTTTGTGAAGATCAAATGTTACATCGGCATCATTCTTTCTATGAACCAAGAAAAACTCGAAATATTTGTTTTTCCCCTCATAGGATAATTTCAAACCAATGGTAACTATTGAGCCGAATAACCGAGGAACATGTGCTAACAAAACTATTCACAGTTTTTCACATTCTGAATATATGAAACTGCAGTAGTCTTCGAACATGTTTCTAGTCGAATCAACGATAAAAAAGATCGAATACGGACCTAACATAACCTACCTTTGACTGTACTATTTTGTAAAAGATAATTGTTAATGAGTCTTAAATTATATCGCAAGAAAAATAACGACGACAAAGATTCGGATGATTATCAAACTATTTATCCTTCAAGAATAATCTATTCGAAATAATCAGATTCCTTGTCTATGGGTAGAGTCGATATTCATATTAGATATATTAGGCGATTGAAAATTCCTCAAATACCATCTTTTCGCATATTTATCTGTATCAGTATTAGGTGGTAACAAATTGATCCAGCAACAACCCTGGTAAGAATACTCGATCTCTTTGTTTATTGGAAGTGTGACTAACGTTGAGATTTCCCCACTCTATCATCGAATTGTTCACTAAAATCGGTACATCGTACCATAGCTGATAAGTTTTTTTGTTTGCCCTCGGAACTAACGAGTTCACCTTCACCAATCAAACCAGACGAAGCAATGGTCTTGTTGTCACAAAAATGATTATTTCCATATGAACGCCGCCATGAATGTCGTTGTGTGATACGTACAACTAATTCTTGCTGATTTGTAGTAATATTAGTTGGAATTTCTCGTATTGCCCATGATACAGAGCCACCTCTTTAGATGTTTATGCATATCAGTAGAATGTGAGGAAAAACCGTTGAAACTTACCGATAATGAGAAGCTTTGATCGAACTTGTTAGAAGAACTATGATAAGACAAAGAAGGTTGAGTTGCTGCATGATTAATAGGAATAAATACTTTTTCTTCATGAATTCAGCTCTAAATAGTCTTCCATACATTAATCATATGTTGACAACTTCTATTTTTGCTGAAATCGGAGTCAATCCAATCATGTTACCAAATCTCGTTAAAAATCAATGAAAGCTCTTTTATTCAAATATTGATAGATAGCTTCCATGTTGTTTGTCATGCTAATCGAAATTAACTGTAAGACAATCCTTTTTATAAGTTTTCGTGGCTGCGCATTGGGTTCTGTTCGTTTAATTGATCGATTTTTATGGAATATTTGAAGCTGTTAGGAAGCAAATTGATTGAATTTTTTCATAAAATTATCGAGACTTGTCTTTGCCACCATTTACAACTACCAAGTAAAACCTGTTTTCGAAATATCCTTTTCTCATCTATCAACATAATTAATAAATATTAAATTTCAAAAATATTTGCTGTTACTTTTTATGGCTTATGCGGAGCTATTAAATATCATCCATTGTGAAATAAATATTAATGTTGTATGTAGGAGTTGATTAAAATAGAAGAAGTTTAGAAAGGTTGTCTTGATTACATCACTCTGGGGTGAAATGCATTGTAATGTGGGTCAAGAGATGACCGGCTAGTATGCTCACTTAATGTGCGTGAGTGTGGGAACGGAGAATATCTATATAATGACACCAATACTCACACTTACAAGTCACACACATCTACCCACTCACACGCTATACTTGAGATATATATGAATCGATGAAAGTTTGCGACGAGAAATTGATTAGACGAAACAGAAGACTGGCTAAAAGCAGAAGCTGAAATCTCAGTCTCAAAAAAACTGATTGTGTGTGACACAACCATAAAAAATCTGATTGAATGATGTTACTGAAACAAGAAGCCATCAACTCGAATAGTAATCTTGAAGTAATGCAAAGACATGTAAACACATGACTACCAAGTGCAAGCAAACATATACACAAATTTATATTGTTTCGTATAACTCCCTCCTTCAATAAAGGGAAAAATAGTTCGAAAATAGTTCCATTTGATCGACATCACTTTATTTTTGCAAAGTAACAAGCAGTGTAGAAGATTTTCTTTTTTAAAAAGGCTAATTTTTTCTCATACAAAAACAAAATACTGTACAAAAAAATGTTGGTTTCAGTCATCAACAGCTCCATAATCAATATTGTCATCAATTTCTTCTGCATAGATATGACTTTTGCCTAAAGTTCCTTGTTGTTGTTGTTTTCGTCGTCGATCATTTTGATAATCATCAGTTACTAGTTTTTCTTCATGGTCATCATTATTATACGTCATACTCTCTGATGGTTGATCTGGTGGAGCCATTTTACGTCCGGTTGCAGCATAAATAGCCGAAAGTAAATTTGGATTAATATAATGAGAAAAATAACGTTCAGGAATATGTTCTTGTAATTCATCGAGTAACATTCCAGCCTGTTTGAACAAAAAAAAACCAATGAAAAAATTCTATATTTAATTTTACTTGTTTATATTTTTCTTGTCGTCCAAAATGATCGATTAACATTCCATAAACATCACCTGGATGAACACCGATAAATATTTTTTGATCTGTTAATAAACTAGCCAATTCACGAGAACCTGTTTCGGGATCATTGAGGTATCGACTACAAAAGATTATGATCAAATATATTAAATATTTAAGAGACAATAATGAAGATATAATATTTTAATCATTAAAAACTTTCGAGATATATTTCTTCGACATTTTTCTATAAATCCCTTTCTATATTTTTTCATCACATGGAAACATTGAAAACAATGATTCTCTTTTGGTAAAGTTAAGAATGTTTTACATACATATATTAATAGATAACTACGATGATTTAAATAAATCCCGATAATTTCTCTTAACTATTGTTATGAATTAGATTAATTTTCTTACTCTCTAGCATCAATAAATCGTTTTATATTTCGGCATTTGAGTTCAAGTTCTTGTAATGTTTCATCTTTTGTAAATGTATTTTCACCATTATCTCTCAATGTTTTATATGCTTCCATTAATGCCTCTAGATGAATAAATAAATACATATTATCAATAAAAACAAAACATTACATTTTCTATTCGTTGTCTTACCTAATGCTTTATTGTAATCTCGATATTCTTCAATTTCAATCTAACAACAAAAAGAAAAGTTAAAATATATTTTAAATTTTTTTTTTCTGCAAAATTTTCAAATCATACTTGTGCACACATATCATAAAATTGAGCAAGTTTTTCATATGCTCTTGCTTTTTTATAAAAATTCATTATATTTTGTAATGCATCTGGATATTTTTTCCAATCCAATGTTTTCAAATAATCAGCAGCAAGTAAATAAACTTCACGATTACGTGCTACACTTGCAAACATAGTTATACGTTCAACATCACCAGAATGTATCAATGCACGCATTGACTAAAAACAAAAATAAAAGATTATTAGAATTTGTTTTTCGTTTTTTTGAAGATTATCAAAGCACAGTAACATACTTTAATCTTATTGCCAGCATCGAGATATTTCTTTGCGGCACCAGCATATGCTCCTTGACTAACAGCTAGATCACCTAATTTTTCACAAATAGCTTGATATTTAGGCATATCTTCTTCGTTAGTAGCTAAACAAAAAAAATATATACGTATATCAAATAATTAAAGGGATAAGATTTTAAGAAGAAAAAAATGACTTACGTTTAGCAGGACTTAATCGTTCAAGTAATTCTTCTGTTAATGGAATTTCATTTCGAATTGCTAAATCTGCTGCTTCATCAACCTATTTATTTTGATTATTAATAAGACATTAACAAAGAATTATTAAAATACAAAAAAAAAAAGAACGAACTCGATCAATCGCTGCAAGTAAATCAACAGCTTTATCAAATTGTTTTAATTGCATAAAATAATCAGCCATTCGAGTCACTTGTGTTGGATCAACATTCTTACCAACACTAATACGATAAAAATAACCTTAATCTTATAGAATTTATTCTTTTTATATGACAAACCTATCAGCTATTTGTGCTAACGCTGAATATCGTTCATGTTTGAATGCCAAATCAATTGCTTTCGAAGTTAATCCAGCCTTAATTATACAATTAACTTACATTAATCAGTTTTTTTTTTTTGCTTTCAAAAAAATATACTTTATGATAGAGTAAAATAGCACGATCTTCTTGTAAAGGTAAAGTTTGAAAGTATCGTGCTGCTTCAAGCATATCATCAGGTGTACCTTGTACAGCAATATTAGCCAAATATTCATCCAAATGATGATCCTATATAAATAGAAACAATAACTAGTTGTGTATCTCATTGTTGAAAATAAAATTCTCGAAGAATGAGATCATCGAAAACAGACATCGTCTAAACAATACATTAATGTGAAATGCAGATTTCAATGACTTTTATTTCATTGAGTCCATATCTTATAATTATATTTTCATGATATTAGTAAAACAATACTCAATAAAATAAAATTGAAAAAACAAAAATCATACTCGACAAAGACGCATAGCATTACTAATAGCTGATGCTTGTTGAAAATAAGAAATTGCTTGTTTATAATCGCCTTTCTTTTCAAAATATCTTGCCATATGATAACAAGCAGCTTTATTTCCTGTATCTGAGCATAATTCAATAGCCTAAAATAAATTTTTTCATTAATTTAAAGATAATTTAATCAAGTTTAAAAAAAAACAAATCTGACTTATACCTTAGCTGGTTGATCTTGTTCACAAAGCAATCGACATAATGATAAATTATCATTGGCTTTTCGATAACATCCAAGTGCATCTTCCATTTTACCTCGACTTTCAAAATAACGACCCCACCAACGAAATAATTTTCTAATCAAAATATTTCTTTAAATACAATTAAATAATATATAAAATAAAATAATTTACGGATCATTTTGTTTTGCTGTATATGCTTTATATCCTGCAATATCTTTTCGTTCAAGAAACATTCGTCGTACTTCAGTAGTTTGTGTTCCTGATTTTTCATAACTATTTAAAGACAAAATAAAACACAAGAATCATTTTTCTCTAAAATAAATAAAACTACATTAATATTCTTATATTTACAATTCAATTGCTTTTTCTAATTGATTATTTTCTTCAAGATGTTTAGCATAATTATAATATGTATTACGTAAATGTATTCGATCATAATGTGTTGATATATCAATAGATTTTTCCCATTCATTTGTTGATTGATATAATTGATTAAGAAGATCATATTGTTTTGATTGAAGTAAAATTTTTTCTGCTTCTTCCTTTTGTTTTTATTTCAAAGACAAATATTATATTATTTAATAATATTATTGTTTAAACATACTCTCATATTTAAATGTATAGCTAAAATAGCTATTTTTGTATCAGGATTATCTTGATCAACTGCACGTAAAGCTCGTGCAGCACGAAATAGACCCATTTTACCAAGACAAATTTTTGCTACATCAGCACGTCGATTTAATACACACATACGAGCTAAATTTTCCCAGACACTTTCTCTAAATTAATTGGATAGAATAAAAACTAAATTTTTATTCTATTAAAAAGAAAAAAAAAAATTTCCTTACTTTTTAATAATTTTTATTGCTTTAAATGCAGCATCAAGATCTCCTAATACTAAATTATAACTAAAATTCATAATTGCTTCAATAATATTTTTTTCAAGACCATTAACACCAATAAAATCTGCCATTGTTTTTCCTGTAAGATAAGATGAATAGACTATACTTTCTACAAAGAAAAAAAAACAAACATTATATACTAAAACAAATGCTTTTTCTCTTTCGATTTTCTTTTACCACTAAGTTCTGAATCTGAAAGAAAACCATTTGAACGTTGATCATGACTATGTGTTTGAGAAATAAGACCACTACTATCTAATGTATCAAGTTTAGGAAGTTGAATACGAATACGTGAGTTTTTCATTGAAACATTTTCATCAATTGTATCTGATGAATCAGTTTTTGATGTTGGTAATGTTGGATGAGATTTAATTATATGTCGATCTAAGTCCGAATGTGTATCCTATCGATTAAAAATGATTATTTTGTTTGTAAATATTATTTCAAAAAAAAAAAAACAAAATAATAATTAAATTACTCGTGTAACAAAGAAATAAAATGGAATTTTAATAGCAATCAATTGTCGATAAGAAACATTTCGTAGGAAAACATCTTTTGGAAATATTTGATTATCTGATGTGCAAAACATACTGACGATTAATGATGCAGCCTTAAAAAAAAAAGTAAAACAACAAATATTATTACAAGAAGTTAATAATTTTTGTATTGATATTATTAAATCACATTTGTAGCTTTTAATCACAAGGTAATCATTTTTTCATTGTATATAAGCTCATATTTTTTAGTGAGAAGAAAAGAAAAAAAAATCATTTTCTAAAAGCAACATACGATTTCAACTGAATCTCGATCCTTTCTAATCAAATATGACTTTAAAATATAGAAATTTCTGAACAAGAAATGACTCTCTTTTATAATACTTTATTAATGACGAACTAATATTAGACTTGTTATCGAATGTTTTTGTCTAAATAAAAATATTTTTAATATTTCTTAGATCAAACATTATTTAAAGAATTTCTACTATAAAGCATATTTTACCGTATCTTCTTGATTTGCTACAATTGATTCTCGTGTTGTAATTGTATGATTATCTGCCATACTTGAATCACCATCTCCAACTCCTCGACTTGTTAACAATATATCATAAGTTTTATCATCACCACTTAATGATGCACTTAAATCAAGTTTTTGTTGATGTAAATAAATTTCTAATGCCATCAATCGAGAATCTTCTGGATCCCATTGAATATTTGATGGATAACGACGATATTGTGGTGTATTTTTTGTAGCATCTTTTTGTCTAATATAACCATATTCAGTACCTGGTAATTTCTCCGAACTAAAATCAAAACATGTCACAACATCCTTTTCTACATCCCATACATAGAGTCGACTACTTGGATTAAGATTTGTCTATTAAATAATAAGAAATAAGTATTAATAAGATAATTTCTTTTTTATAAAAAAAAAAAAATAAGTGTTACCTGTGATGTTAGAATTGTAACTTTTGTTCCTGTACAATTAACTGCTAATTCACGTATTGAATCAACTGATGGTGTGTGTGCATTTATATTTAATGTTTTACCAATTTGTCGTAATTCACTACAAAAATAAGAAAGAAAAAATTATTTATCGAATTCAATGCCCACTCTTCTCAAAATCGATCATGAGTCAGATGCATCCAAATCGGATGAAATTTCCAGTCGTATGTTGTAATATTTGAGTGAGATTTTCAATAATCAAGGGTCAAAAATACTTCATTTGACAACTCAAAATTTTCTTAAACTCTTAATTTTTAAGAGGGAAAACAGAAATGAAAAGTTCAATGTCTCAAAAAGCTCTCAAGAATGGTCAACTATATATAGACGTCTTTCTTTTATATAAGAATAAAATTTAATTCCAATAACAGACTCTGCAAATTCGGATACCTTTAGAAACAAAAAAAAAATGGTTGTAATGATTCTCCTGAAGAAATTCTGAGGTACGGAATGAGAGAAGTATATTTAAAATGAAAGACTAGACCTCGAGCTATTTTCTCATACCTTTATTTCAATTGTAATTTTTCTAGAGAAAATTGACTTTTTTTTAGTGTGTGTAGTGCCATAGTCATTTATACGTACCGTCGAGATATATCAAAAACTTTCACATAGCCTTTGGTTGAACCAACAACAAGAAATGATCCATTTGAATTAATTGTATTTACTTCACCTTCATTTTGTGCAAATGCAATTGTTTGTCGAGATGTTCCCTTTTTTTTTTCAATAAAAAGAGAAAGTTCGTTCTTTTCTTTGTTATCATTTTAGAATAATATTTTCTTTTACTTGAAAAGACATAACATTAACACGACCATTTTCTTGTACAAATAAAAGTTGATCGTAAAGAATAACATTCGATGCTGAACAAGAAAAACAACCTTTAAATAAAAAAAAACATTTATTTAATAATTTCAAATTCGTTTAAATTAACCTTTTTCATTTCGAACAACTTTTTCATCATCGGATTTTGATGCATCACAAATAAGTTCATAAATACGAATTTGTTTTTTATTCCAAATAGCAATATGATTCTAAAAGAATACATATAGATATGTGTTTTGATTTTAGATAAAGAGAGTTTTCTTAAATAGAATACAAACTTTAGAAACACATAAATTTCTAAATGGCATATCTAATTCTTCTTCTTTGACAATACTATAGCGAAAAAATGCTATATGAATAATTGTTGGACTAAGTTGAACAACCGCAAGCTAAATATAAAAGAAATTTTTTTTTTTTAGATTAAGAATTTTGCTTAATGAAACATCAATTTAATAATTTACTTGATCTCGATAAGCTGCTGACATATTTTCATCAGTAAGTAGAAATAATTGTGAAATCAAATTAGCAGCAAGACAATTTCGTTGTGGACAATACTAAAGTACATTTCTATGAATATATCTTGGAAAAAATAATTTTCATTTCTTACTTTTAAACTTCGAATAGGTATACCAGTGGCAATTTGTTTAGCTCGTTGAAGAATCCAACGTTTTTCCACATCTGTTATACGACGATTTGGATTATAAATCCAAAACGCAATATTTCCTCGATTAGTACCAGCAGCAATAATTCCTTATAAATAAACCAAATTTATTGAAAAAAGAAAAATACACTACGATATACCTTTCATTGCACTGTAAGATACAGAAATTAAAACTTCATTATTAGCATAACCCATTTCTGGATTTATTTTCAATAGAAGATTATCTGATGAAGTAAGATCAATCATTCGTATTGTTGATTCACCAGTGACATAAGCAAATAATGTTGTACCAATTAAAGTAAAATCTGAATCTGTTGGTCGACCAGATAATTTACCCTTAAATATTAATCATAACAAAAATTTTTCTGTATTTTTTTTTCCTTTTAGTAAATTTATTATCTTACAGAATGTGTAGGAATTAAAACTTCAGATTGTGTTTGTAATTGTTGAAGATTATATTGTGTCATCATATTTCCTTTTGTAACAACAATAAGCATATCATAATCATATGAATATAAAAGACGTGCAATGGCATCATCAGCCGAACATATTTTTCGTAATTTATCAGTTACCATATAAACATTTCCTTTATCAGTACCAACATAAAAAGTGACTGGTTCATTAAATTGTTGTCGATTTGTACTCATAGCAAGCAGATCTAATGCAGCTTGATCACCTTCAACTGCTGCTCGAGCTAAATCTCGATAATCTCTTGAAAATAAAAATATTTAATAAAATAAAAAAAGTCTATTCGAGAGAGAAAGAAAGCTTAGTACACTTACTGATCAGATCGTCCTGAAGGTGATGATTTACTCAGTACGTATGTAACTGATTCACCAGGAACAGTAACTTGCAATATTACACTTTGTTGAGATATTTGTGCTAAAGACTCAGCTTTCCAAAGAATGATTAAACCATCCTAGAATATGATTAAGAAAACGTTCTGTGAAATAAGTAAAAATAAAACTTAGATAAAAAAAATTTTATCAAGAATTTCTTCAAGTTTTTTAACATTAATTTGTATGAAAAACATATTTTTCTAAATTACTTGATCAGCTGATAATAAACGTGTTCCATCCATATTTATTGTTAATGTTGTTATACAACTTTTATGAACAATAACACTTTCTAATCGACGATTTGATCCATGCCATATCATCAATTCACCATCTAACAAAAATACAATACTTTGTTTTTCAAAGAAAATAAATTTTTCTTCATACTTGAAAAACCAATCGCTAAAGTTTTTTTAGCTGGATGCCATTCCATACAAGAAGCATTACCCGTATGTTGTACACGAGCTGCTTCATCTTGTTCACCCTTAGTTTTACAAGAAAAATAACACTCAATGATAATACATAAGAAAATATTACTTCAACTTACATCTTCTCCATAGAAGAATATATTTGTACCAACAGTAATCGATGCTACAGCTAGAATATTCAATGATGGATGCCATTCCATCAATTGAAAATGAGGTTGTTCCGAAAAACTCCCTAGATCAAGTTTATGCTCAAAATATTGTGTAGCCATTCTATTTTTCTTAAAATACGATCAAATTTGATATGACTAAAACGAACGATACCATACATGAATACATTGCTTTGACAACCATATGATATGATTTTTGTTTTTTTTTCCAAATCAAAAAATTATTTTAAAAATTAAAAAGTGAAAAAATAATTTATTTCAAAAATAAAATAAGAAATATTAAATTGAACATAATTCAAATTTTCTATTCTAACGACATCTAATGGAATGTTCTAGACTCTTACGATTCTTACCATACAGTTTTTATTATTATCACATTTAATTGTATTAATACATCGATGGTAACTGAAGCTGAACTTAAAGGCGAAGATATTTCACCATCAAAGGATGGAGGTTTGCTTTTTTAATTATTTATTAATTAAAATTTTCTTTTGGTTTTTTTTTTAAAGGTGTTCTTAAAGAAATAATCAAAGAAGGTTATGGTGATGAAAAACCAGTAACAAATGATAAAGTATTTGTGCATTATGTTGGTACATTACTTGATGGAACTAAATTTGATAGTAGTCGAGATCGAAATCAAAAATTTGAATTCGAACTTGGTAAAGGTACAGTTATTAAAGCATGGGATATTGGTGTAGCAACAATGAAACGTGGAGAAATATGTCGTTTAATATGTAAACCTGAATATGCCTATGGCGAACAGGGTTCAGGAGATAAAATTGGATCAAATGCAACATTAATTTTTGAAATTGAGCTTTTTGATTTTATCGGTAAGATTTGAAGAAAAGAACAACAATAACTGAAAAATTTTTCTATTTTCTAATTATAGGTGATGATATAAGTGAAGGAAAAGATCAAAGTATTATACGACGAATATTGACAAGAGGCGAAGGATGGGCTAAACCAAGTGATGATAGCGTTGTTGAAATATCTCTTAAAGGTATCCATGAAAATCGAGTATTCGATGAACGAAAAGTTAAATTTACAGTTGGCGAAGGTTTCTTAAAAAATATTCCTGACGGGTTTGTAAATTTCAAAAATTATAATAATAAAATCTTCTAAAGAATTTAATTAATTAATTGAGTTTTTTTTTTTTCAGTCTTGAATATGCTGTAACACGAATGACAAAAGGTGAACATAGTCAATTAAAATTAAAATCAAAAGCAATATTTGGTCTTGAAAAATTTAATATTCCAAAAAATGCTCATGTAGAATATATAGTTACATTGCATGATTTTGAAAAAGTTTGTTCACAAAGAAAAACATGAAAAAAAACAACAATGCTTGTCCTTTTGTTTTTTATAGGGTGTAGATAAATGGTCAATAAATGATGCAGAAAAACTTGAACAATCAGAAAAATTAAAAAAACGTGCTGCTGAATTAATTAAAGTAAGATTTTAAGTTGAATAGAATATTTTACTTCAAAATAAATGTCTATAGAGTGATGTTTGTCTTTTGTTTTTTTGTTTTTCATTCTATTTTAGGATGGTCATTATCGTGTTGCTTGTAAAAAATATAAAACTATTGCTGAATATCTTAAATCACCAAATTATGAAGATGAAAAAGATAAAAATAAAGCTCATATGTTAAAATTAACAACACAAACAAATATGGCTTTATGTCATTTGAAATTAGGTGAACATGCTCAATGTATTCGTGCTTGTGATGCAGCACTTGAATTAGATCCTAAAAATGAAAAATCATTTTTTCGTCGAGGACAAAGTCAAATGTCTATGTCAAGTTTTGAAGAAGCTATAAAAGATTTCGAAGAAGTTCTTAAATTAAATCCATTAAATGATGTAGCAAAACAACATATTGAAACATGTCAAGAAAAATTAAAAGCTTATCATCAAACAGAAAAACAATTATATGCTAAAATGTTTGCTAAAATGTCTAAAGAGAATGAAAAAGTATAGTTTTCAAATTAACAAAATTAACTTATTTATGTTAATTAATTTTTTTGTTTTAAGACTAATATTCAAAGTACGAACGGTGAAACTAAAACAAATGAACAAAATAAAAATGAAACTACATCTTCGAATTAATTGATTTTACTTATAATTATAATCTAGATTTGAAACAAAATTTTCAAAAAGAAAAAAAGTCATATAAAAGTTATTCTCTGAGTAAATAATCGTGATACTTAACGTTATTTCTTTTTTTTTCTACTATATTTGTACTAAAAATAAAATAAATAAAAAATCAAAATGACAAAAATATTCTACATATTTAATTAAGTGAACAGACAACTGTGAACAACAATATTAAATCATATCAAAAACAAAAAATATGTATAATTTCTTTTTCGTTGATCCTTTTTATTCGAAATCCAAATTAATGATTATAAGGATACTTATAATAGCTGGTGAAACACTTTAAATTAGATAAACTGTTATACTTTTTAATTAAGTAATATCAATAATAAAACCCACCATTTGCCATATCCCATATTGTACGAATAGACCAGATGAATTAATTGCTGGTTTATGAATGTCTTTTGATGCTGTATAAACAATACGACAGAAAACAGATAAAAGAAGAATACCTGAATAATAGGAATTGATGCATAAAAATTTATTTTGTAGTATATTATATATATACAGTAGAGTGCAAAAATAATTGCCGATAGACTTTCCAAGATTCTTCTAATAGAAGTATAAGATATGAGGACTTTTTAATGTTATTATATTACACAGATACTGTACTCTATAAATACATTAATCATTAAAAGTTTCTCACTCTCTATGAGTTCACAAGGGACAATAATCTTACGTTCTTGGAAGTAGTTAAAAAATTTATAACTTACACATGAGTTTTACTCTACTTTTCACGTTAGAATTCTTTAGGTTTATCGATATTTCGAAGTTTTTCATTCATATTAATTGATTGAATGGTCTAGTGAAATAATTTAACTAAACCGAGAGTTGCACTATTAAGTGGCCAAACAGTAGTTTCAGCTATATAGGGCTGGCGAACCACATTGTTGACCTCACTGTAATATATTGCTACACTCTTCGATCTTGAAAATTTTATTATAACTAGTGTGAGTGAGGGTCATCGTTATAGAATAGTTTCAAACTTCTACCCAATGATCAGTACTTCAATAATGTAATATGATCTATTGGTCAGATCGCATACAACTGGTGCTTGGATTATGAGTCATTTTTACGAAGCTATATAAAAATTTTCGAGCAATACCAGGTTCATTTAATGCATAAAAGTAGTACCTAACGTTTGCAAATAACTTGGGAATGATCGTTCGAAGAACGTATGAAATAGCTTAAAATAAAGTTTATGCACTAAACGGCAATTTTTTTGCACCCTACTGTATATATATTTATAAATCTTTTTGGATTATCACAAATAGATCGATCAGAAATAAATTTTAGATTATAAAAAAACGTTAGCTAGAGCATAGCCTAATGCTTTTATATTTAATCAATTAAGAAATGCCGGTGATGCATTTATTGATTTAATAAAAAAAAAAACAATATGATACTCATAGTGGCTAATATAATTGATACATAATTTAATACTAATTCTATTGTTGTAGGTAGAACTCACACATACACCACCAAATATACTAAAATGATTATTAGTCTAATCCATTACTAAACGTGTTGCTCCTCAAATAAGCAAAATCAACACAGCAAGATCAAATGTTTTAATAGAACATACTGGGACAAGATTTTCTATTGTTTGAAATATTGATTATTTATAATATGATTAATCAATAAAATGAACAAAATAAGTTGTAACACCAAAAATTAATCGAAAGAAAACTCCATCACTAATTGAAAATTGTTTAACAAATAAATCTCATGCAATTAAACATCTAATAAAACTAGTCAACATCAATAAAGAGTTGTTACATTTTTATTTGTAATTGTAAAAAAACACTTTCTCAATTAGTCATCTTATTAGATATAATTACAACAAATTATTCAATATGAAGTAGATACAAAAAAAAAAACTTTGAAAATAGTAACAGAATTGTATCTATATATTATTTCTATTTCAGATTGACTTAAATATACATTTATGTTTAAGATCAGCTAAAAACAACAGTAAAAACAAATGTTTGCTATTTAGTATTAAAATGATTCTTTTTGTTTTACATGTTTTTAACTGACAAGAGACAACAATAATTGACAAATATGCAATAATATGTTCGTGTCACTCAAAAGACTCAAGTACTACATTGTTGTTTTTTATTATTCTAGTGATGGCAGGATATCGAAATCCGTTTTTTTACGTTCTAATGCTTGTTCTTTATTCAGTTCGTTTCATATATATATATATATACTTTGAAATTGATGCTTTTAATAACCTACTGAAAAAATTGTTTTGTTCGTTTTAAATCTCATGATAAGTTTTTTATACTAGTGAATCATCATTATATACAATGATGAAATGAAATTGATATTAATGATAATAGAGAAGAAATCTTTTTATGCTTTTTTTTTTGAACCATAAAATATTTCTCTATGTTATATTTACATATTAGAAGAACTATATTTATTATAAAACAGATTTTGTTATAAACATCTTTGTAGAACCTATTTATAAGTAGCCTCATGAATTCTATAAACCACCCGCTATGCTTCAAGTGTCTTGTCTTCTTCATTTTGATATAAACATCATATAGAGCGTATCAACCTTCAAATATCATCAGACAAACGACGGCATACACAGCATGTCTGCTTGTTACTTCTATATTCATTCATGTGTTTTGTTTTCTTTCAAGAAACAAACGTGTGAACAATGCTGTTCTATTGCTTAGTATATCTTAATATATATGCATGCATACACCACACGACTGAGATGTGGACATGTTTGTCTAGTGGGAATAGATGTTGTTGATGATGATGATGATCCTATCAGTGAACAATTAACCATCATCATTGATGATTGACTTCAATCTTTCCATTGTCCGAAGTATACAATCAAATAAATAATAAAGATGAACAACATCTTTGAACTTGTGTCTGATATTCTTTTTTTTGTTTTTATTCTTTATAGAATAAAAGACTCAATTTATCATCGATCATCATCCTCATCATCCAATTTTACTTGTTTCAAGATAATTGCCAGTTGAATTGAACACTTGACAAAGACATTGGAACTCAAGAGAAAAGAAATATTCTTCTTTACTTTTTCTTTCAGGTAGCCGATAGAGAAGATAAGCAAAACGTATAACATCTGTTTGTTTCTTTTTTGCCTTTTTTTTCTCTTTAAATACACAGACACACGAACACACAGAGACAATCCACCACTGTTCCACTGACATACAATGACGCAACAAACAAAAGAAAAAAAAATGTATCGATATTTACATGCCACCCAGTGCTACACTATGTTCACGAGCTTTCAGACGTAATGCAGCAATTGAGGTACTTCGATGATCAGGATTAAGATTATATCCAGTATATGGACATGGATTGAAGTTATTTGTTGAATGAGATGTTTGTTGTTGTGGCGGTGGTGGTGGAAATGCATAAGGCATACCCATAAAATTTGGTATTGCACTTGACATCATCATGGACGGAGATGATGAAAGAGTTTGACATGGTGATCCTGTTTGTTGTTGAGATTGTTGTTGTTGATGATGATCTCGAAGAGGAACATGACCTAATGATGCTGTTGATGATGAACACCAACCATTACTAGCTGCTAACTATAATAATAATAATAATAAATAAAAAATGATGAAAAAGATTTTTCTTTTTTTTTGAAAAGAAACGTCAATGAATAAAAATACCGATGGATATTGACTGCTTGCAGCTGAAATCAATGAGATATCATAGGGATTTGTTGTAGGTACCGTTAATGAACGTATTTGAGGTGCATTTGTATATCGTTCACGTTTACGCCATTTAGCACGTCGATTTTGAAACCAAACCTATAAAAATAATTGTTAATCATTTTATTTTATTTTTATTATATTCTTATAATATATGTTTTCTTTCTACATAAGATAATCTATTTTGAGTTTTCATTTGAATTTAACGAAAGAATTTTTGAATAAATAAAATAGAAATTGCTACATGAATTCATAAGTTTTAGATTACTAAATAAATCTATAAAAGATGATTGAATATTAATAGAATTTCTTTGAAGAAGTAAAAAAATGTATTCAATGTAGAATTCTTCTAATTTATCTATTGTTCTTTGATTGGTCCTTTATCAGTATCTATCAACAGACTCATTATCCGATCTACGAACACATATTGTTATTTTAGATTTGATCTAATAATTTTTTTTTTCTGCTTTAATAAATTTATCTTTGTCTATAGTCTTTAATAGACCTTTGACATTCACATCGAGTCATTTTATTATTCTGAGATATTGACTGAGAAATAAGAAGAAAATAAAGAAAGAAATTTCTTTTGTTTTTTTCTTTTTCTGATTGGTTATAATGTGTAGAGAGAAGAAAGAAAAGTTGGTATGAATACCAGATGTGTTTGTTAAAGACATTGTTTCATATGAAACATACATACCTGTACTCGTGCTTCCGTCAAATCACATCGAAGAGCAAGTTGTTCGCGTACATAAACATCTGGATAATGAGTCTTTTGAAAGACACGTTCCATTTCTTCAAGTTGAAATGATGTAAATGTTGTACGATTTCGTCGTTTTTTTCGTTTTGTATCATTTCCATTTGAATCATTTGTTGTATCACCTTCATCAGATGATGAACCACTGTTTGTATTATTATGTTGTACACATAATTTTTTACTTGAATCCATACATGGTGGTTCTAGAGAAATAATGATAGTTGTTTTCTTTTTTTCTTTTTTTTTTTTTTTTTTGACTAGTCTTATCTTTGAAAGCTCTTGATTTCGAACGTAATATATTTCCCGAAGGAATGAACGGAAATGAAATCAGTAGCAATGATCACGTTCGATCTGTCTGCTTATCTCTTATTCTCTTGCAATAGGCGTGGAGGCACGCACATACGCTTGATATACCTGCTGAGCAATAACAACTCAATCATCTTGGAAGAAGCCACATCAACTAACAAAAAAGAAAAGAAGGAATCAATCTTCTCTATGATATGTATGTATACATCGTAAAACGTTCGCAATGTGATATGTAGTTAATGATATAAGTCATTTTGAATGATGATATTCAATTTAAGCTTTCTTTAGTTTTATTAATAAGAAAAAAAACAGAAAAAGAAAAGTATTTACCTGAATGAGGATGATGTATCATAGTAAATTGATGGCTGTGAATTGGGACTAATTGTCAATTGAAGGCAAGGTGTTAATTCAATATATTTGAACCCTTTTTCCTCTAACCGAATTTTCGACCGACTATATAATCTGTATGCGCACGGCTCTAATTTTATTAATCAGTTATCTGCAGAACCGAATGTAAGCCACCGTCGTAGTTGAGAGAGAAAGAGAGAGGAAAAGAGAGTCAATACCATTCGAATAAAGAAGTAGAATGTACTGTGTCGTTGTCGGCAAAGAAGAAGATTAATGGCAGTACTCTTATTCTTGCTTTTTCTTCTTCTCCCTCTCTCTCTCTTTATTTCTCGCTCGTCGATTTTCTTTTCCCTTCGGCTGGTTGCCAGATAGATACATGGTCGAAGTGCGTAAATTTGCCGATTGGTCCATATGTATAAGAAAGATACTCTATCCATATATGTTCTTCTCTTCGTTTGATCCAGTATGTGAACACAACTCTTTTTAGTTTTCTTTTTCTTTTTATTTATGTGAGAAAATAAAGTGAGTATAAACAACAGATGACAAAAATAAAACAAAAAAAAAAAAAAAAAACAAGACAAAAAAAGAAAAAGAAAATTATCTTGCATTATGCATCTTGACAATTGATTACTAAAAAAAGAAACAACGAAGAAATGTTTTTTTTACTCGTTTTGAGTAGATTTTGCACGAGCAAAGGGCAATTAGGGTGATTGTCGTTGATAACTTGTGCGCACGCACGTATGTCAACGGCTCGTTTATTATACAAAAGAGACGAAGAAGCCTTCTATCCTATCTCGTCCTTCTATAAAGGCAGGCATCTAGATGATTTGTCTTCGTCGATCAACACAAATAGTTAAATGAACTAAAACTAAGTCAATCGAAGTCTCCACCCATTTTTCTTCCATTGATTGGCTAATGGAAGAAAAATAGTTTGTTATCTTTTCTTTGCTTTTGAATAAATCGAAATCTGAAGCACAAAAAAAAAAATGAATTGTTATGTTTTCAAACAATTCCCAAATGAATACGAAAAAAAAAATACTTTTACTGTTAACGCGGCAAAGATCACTTAGTTAGAAGAAATAACAAACTCTTCTTCATCGTCTTCTTTTGTGTTTCTCAAAACAACAAGCAAACAAAAACTTGATGCTGCATAAAATTAAGAAATGCCAAGATGATATCTCTTATCTATATCGTTCGTCATTTGCATAGTTTGTTCAATGATGAACGTATTCCTGTTATTATTATTGTTGTTGTTGTTGTTGTTCTTGTCTGTTCAATATAAATCTGCTAGATGAACTGTTACAATTATATAGTTTTTTTTTTTCATTCTTTTTCTTGATAAAAAAGAAAAAAAAAAAGAAACAAGAACAAAATTTCAAATTATGCTAATGGATTTTTATCACTGATTTGAAAACAAATAAAAAAAAAAAAAGAATCTTGATTAATATCATCCGTTATAATATGAAGAAATATGGTGAGCTTTCAGTTTTCTTTTTTGACCAGTAAAACAAACAAATGAGATGATTAGTTCTCATAAGAAAGTATCAATTACATATAACAAACGAAGAGAAAGAGAGAAAAGGTTTTTGAAAGAAATAACATATATGTATACAAATCGTCGATTATTAAATTACTAATAGAAAAGAAAAAGAAAATCTCTTTTTTTTTTTTGTATATACAAAGTTGTTAGGAAAATAAACTTGTCCGATGGAAAAGAGCATGTCTATGTCGATTAGCACTTTAGTAAAGTTCACATCTTGTCTATCAGAAAAGATTACTTTCATTTTCTTCCTACACACACACATATGGAAAGATTATTGAAAGTATTTATGTCATATATATTTCGTAAGATTCCAAACAATAATCAAACATCAACTATTCTTTAAATTATATATCTATATTTTATTTTAAGAAAGATTTAGTCTAAAATAAATATTATTATCTTTAATAAATGTAGCCCGTTGTAAAAATGAACTAGTTCATCATAATTTCTACATTTGTCAAGCATACATAGCAAAAAAAAGTATCTAATAGTAGTTAAATATCGTATTATACTTCTTGTATTAGAAACAAACTAATTCTATTTATTGTAAAAAGAAAATACATTATAATGTATGAAAAGGATAAATTATTCATAAACAATATTAAATTAATGATGGTTTCTAATGATTGATTAGCTGAATATCAAAACAAAAATGAATTTGTTATAATTAAAGATATTGTTGTTCAATGCCAATTGATGAAGTATCATTTCTATATTTAGTTTACATTAAATATACTTATCTTAAAAGATTAATTACAAAAATCATCTTCAAGGATATTTATGATTAGTCTTTGTTATTTTCAATAAATTCTTTGATCAATAAAGTTCTATTCATGATAGTTTGGATCAAGTTCAATTAATCATATCATTGGCATGAATTTTTTATTTCAACATTGACATAATCTAACAGTTGAACAAGTTACAATGGGCAAAAATTAAACATATGACGTCATTCGTATCAAATAAGAACAAACATTTGTCTTAAGCATGAATCTTAAATGTTTTGAAATCATTCAAACATATTGGTTTTAAGTCACTACTTTTATAGATAAGGAAAGAGTTATAGTTCATATTCATTCAAAAAAATATCGACAGAAATACTGATGTTGAAATATTATGATTTAATATTTATCAGAATCAATGTCTTCCGTGAGTTTCAAAACAAAAAAATGACATAGAGTAACAAAACAATCATGCATGAAGAGATAATCATAGTTTTTCATCGTTGTTTTTTTTTGTAGATATCAAGTGTATAGTGTAATTTCTATTAATATCGAAGTAATTGTACAAAAGCCAATATATTCAGTTATATTTGAGAGAAATAAGTGAATAATCGATTAATATATGATATATTCGAAATTTTCAAAACTCCATAGAATATAATTCTTTATTGAAATCAATAACAATAGTTTAATATAGTTTTGTCAAAGTTATTTCTATGACCACACAATTGACTTAAAAGGTAATATAAAACATTCAACTATCTTTCTAGTAAAACGATCTTTAATTATTAGTCTATATTTAAATAATAGATCAAGAAGACTTACAGATTGAGTATCAATAAGTATTAATTTACATTTAATAAGATAATTATATTCTAGAAAATAATCTTGTTATGAATTATATAGTTTCTCTATAATAAATTTATCTGTTAATTCATCATCTTAAACAAGAGAAAAGAATTCTATCTAATGATTCCAAACATTAGATAGCCAAATTTTATCAAATGAGATATTCTAGGCGTAGATTTGTTGTTTGCAAAAAAAAACAAATCTTATTTTATTCAATTAGATTAATTAAATCTATTGATTAGTACAATTTGTCAGAACGAGCAAAATGACATTTTCGTTTATTATCCGTACTCTTCTTTTCTTTAAACGTGGACTCTTTCGAGATATTTTTAAGGGCCACCTCCCTCTAAAGTGAAACTTTATTTTTGGAGCATTGATTCTTAATGAAATTTTCAGCGGAAGTGTATCTCGAGCTAGACAGCTCACAGTAAAAATTTCAGCTGGAAACGTGAAGTCTACGAAGATTTAGTTGAAGACTATGGGTCAAAATTTAGGTTTCAGCGTATCCTAGATTTCTCCGCCATTTCAAATGCTAGAAAGTTCAATCTGGTTCTAAAATATAGCTGAAATGTGGTGCTACAAGTTAATAAGGATCGATTTTTCGGTTTTCTTTCATCTTGTACTATTGAGAAAATTTCTCACGTCAAGTATGAAAAATCCTAGGGATGTAGGTACAGAACAGTTAGTTTTTTTATACGTATTAATGAAGAAATCGAAAAATTCGATTCTGTTATGTTGTAGAGCTAATTTTTGACTTCATTTTGACACTAAGCCCAACTTTTTCGCGTTAAAAATGGCGAAAAAATCTAGAACACATGGAAACGTAAAAACTAAAAATCCTATTTTGAGAAAAAACGTTATTATCCTCTATGGGAGGTTCAGAAAAATCTATGTAATCTCCTTAAACTTCATCCTAAAATCAATCAACTATGGTGCATTCGAAAGTAGACAAATGACTCTATGTTACGAACTTTCACTCACAAAACCGACAAATTTGACCAAAATTGACACTTTTTTGGAGGAGGGGGAGTGGAAATACCTTAAATACATAAAATTTGATAAAATCAAACGTTTAACTAGATGTCGCAATAAATACAGTTGAATTGCATAGTATATTCTTAAATTAGTCTTATTTAAATATCTGTCGTTGAAAAACGTAATTCTTTAATATTTTCATTTATTTAATCTATAGAAACTCTTTCTCGTTTGTTTAATAGTTTAACGGTAACCAATGGTGGATTTACGGGGGGGGGGGGGAGGGGGTGCGATGTGGTGATCGTATCCCCTTCGAGAAAATTTTTTCGATTTTTCCCAGCAGAAACAAACGAAAAAAACTTCATACCACTTCGAGTGCATCTCAAAATGTTCTTTTTACTCGTGATCGTAACCTCCTTCAGCTAAGCACACCCCTCCCCCCTTCCAAA